TTTAACACCAATTAAATTTCAGGTTTGTTTGTTTGTTTATTTATTTTACAATGTTATATACCTAGCTTAACCCAGAAAGAACTCTGGACAATATGTGGTACTTTTCTCAGCTCCCCCAAATCATAAAACTGGGAGATATAGATAAATATACAGTATATGTGTGTGTGTATCAGAGGTGGTATTCAGCAAATTCTGACCAGTTCTGGAGAACTGGTAGCGGAAATTTTGAGTAGTTCAGAGAACCTGTAAATACCACCTCTGACTGGAGATTTTATAGTATTCTCCCCCTGCCACGCCCACCAAGCCACGCCCACAGAACCAGTAGTACAAAAATTTGAATCCCACCACTGGTGTGTATGAATATGAATATAGGAAAACAAGACTATGAAATGAGTCTTTTGTAATATTCAGCACAAGTAGTTCAACTTTATGAGGTATTCTTTCATGAAATCTTTTGCAGGTGGCCCAGTCAGAAAGATCAGAAATTTCTTCCTGTCTTAAGTTATCAGCCAACCTTCTTAAACTGGCTTATTGCACTTATTTAATGAACACAAAGACAATATTTGCTGAAGTTCCAGACCAATGTCAGGAAGTGTAGCTTAAAAGTCAATTTGTGGGAACTGAAGGGATTAAACAGAAAGATTCATAAAAGTAAACAGAAGAAATACACAGTGGACTTATTTGATCAAGGTGGCGCAGTGGTTAGGGTGCAGTGCTGCAGGCTACTTCTGCTGATTGCTGGCTGCCTGCAATTTGGTAGTTCAAATCTCACCAGGTTCAAAGTTGACTCAGCCTTCCATCCTTCTGAGATGGGTAAAATGAGGGCCCAAATTGTTGGTGGCAATATGCTGACTTTGTAAACCGTTTAGAGAGGGCTTAAAGCACTGTAAAGCAGTATATAAGTCGTAAGTGCTCTTGCTCTTGCTATCAAGGTTAAAATATGCATGTTGTTTCTGATAGTTCTTAATCATTTTTTTTACTAGTTCCAAATGACAAGAATTCTAGAGGTAAGAGATGGGAAGAAGAGTCTTTTTTGGAAAATAATATAAAACTGGTTTATTTCATTATGAGGGGGTGTTGCTATTTCTAATAACTAATATCCCTGATGTTTCCTATTCAGCCAAGTAACATAGTGGGAAGCATTGCATTAACCTACACTCCAGATTCTTAGTTACCTCAGATTCACATCACCCAGCTTGCAAACCTGTATTTCAAGCGTGGCTACATTGTTAAGAAAGCAATGTTCTTTACAGAAGTTTCACTGGGCCAAATTCAACAGGATTTGGCGGGACCTTTTAATGGATTCATCTCTTAAACACTTTGTTTTATTTGGGCTCAGTGACATTTATGGTGTACAGCTGTACTTTAAGACTTCATCTCAAGGAGAGAAAAGACCTTTTCTTATCATGACTTTATTTTAATTAATTATTTAATTCCACAAATGTTTTAGTGAGCTGAGGCCAGAAATGTCACTATATTCTTATCACCTGTTTCCAGCAAAAGACAACAGCAGGAAGCGACATCAAGCCAACTTCGGCTGGTCACAGGAATGCCATGTAAATTCAGGCTTGGTAATCAGTTGTGAGGCTTCAAGTATAAAGCCTGTGGTGGAAGGTAGAGACTATCTTTACTTTTAAAACAGCATCTTTATTTTTAATAATTCTTCAGTCGTAATAGTCTTTAATATCACCAGTGAGATAGAAATGGCACAATATTTTGTTGGAGATATACCTCTAAATTAGAACACAGGTTGAACTTCCGATCATTAATTCTGGAGTTTACATATGATTCACCTTGTGCTTTCCCATAAGGCTTTTATCCTTCAGTTGCCTTTCCTGACTCACAAAAAATAAGAATTCAAGAGATACTATCTTTTGTAACTTTTCATGTCTTTCGGTCTGAATCTATTATGCTAGAAGCACTCAGTAGGACTGCAAATCCCATGATGCCTTCATGACAGACGAGCCTAAAGAAAAATGTTAACTTAATTGAGCAGCAGATAAGGCTGTTAGATAATCTTAAATCTGGAAAATAAAGCATACATTGGACTTCATGTAAACAGTCTATGTAAAGACGTTTATAAAGACATCTTTTGGAAGTATCCCAGTGTAACCAAATAGTTTTTCCATACATATTTGGCATAAAATTATTCTGGATGTGTCAGTGAAATGTAAATGTTAAATATGAATTGTAAAAGGATTAGTTGGAGACATTGAGGGAGGATTAAAGCTAGCAATTCTCAGTATTGAATAAACATGGCAGATTGTTTTTAAGTCTGCTGGCAAGCCATAATAATGAGTGAGGAGAGCCTGAAGCAATAAAGCTGGACTAGTCCAGTTTATCATTCTCAGAATGATACATTATTGTGCCTTGCCACAATATCTTAATTCAGTCAATGTGCAGGTCTAACAAGCAGTGTTAGGAAAACACTGTAATTTATTGGAACTCTCTTTCCTGATGTATGATGCCTGACATGCAATAAACATTTAGATTTAGAACATTTAGATCTTCTCACCAGGGACCTGTACCTGGATTATGAAAATTAATGTTAAGCAATTAAGGTACCAGGCCCAAAACCAGGAGAGTGTGAGTTCTAGTCCTGCTTTAATCATGAAAGCCACCTGGATGAACTTTGGGCCAGTCACTCTCTCTCAGCCCAAACCACCTCACAGGAATATTGTTGTGCGGAGAATATGAGGGGAAAGGAATATTAACTTTGTGTGCTGTCTTGAATGATTTATAAAAATAATAAAGGTAGGATTAAAAATTAATTAAATGCTTCCTGTCTTCAGTAGGGGGTTGTATTAGAAAACCTCCAAGATCCCTTCCAGCCCTATGATTCTAAATAAATAAAATTATTTTGTAATCGTGTATATGTAGGTATACTTTTCTCATGTATCTTATTGGCCTTTTTAACAAGAACTCCACCCCCATTGTTTGTCCTTGGATGAACAACATCATTTTCTACCTTTTTCTCTATAGTGTCAATCAAGTGCTACCACAGTGCTCACTGTATCATGACATAATGACATTTATCAAAATGTCTAGTTGAAAATGGTGTTTATTCGTATCTCTTGGCTGTTATCTTTATATGCCAGCTTTCTATTAAGAATAATGGATTTATTTATAATATTCTTAAATCTATTAAGAATAAACAGCAGCAAGATCCATAATTAAAAGAAACACTCATCCACAGAAATAAATTAGCATAATCACAAAACCATCTAAAATGCTAGATCTGCCTGCAATGAGACCTTGCCCATTCACAATCTAATGGTGGACAAGTACAGGTTATCCTCAATTTACAACAGTTCGTTTAGTGAGTGTTCAAAGTTACAATATCACTGACCATTTTTCATACTTACACTGTTGCAGCATCCCCATGGTCATGTGATCAAAATTCAGACGTTGTCAACTGACACATATTTTATGACAGCTGAATTTCCTACTTCTGATAGATTGTGTGGAGGAATGCAGGGCTATCCTTGAGAATGGGAAAGGAACGAATGTGTCATTTAAGGAAGACTTTGAGAAAGAATGAAAGAAACTTGAGAAAGAAGAGTGTTCTATCATTCAAAATAAACAGCACTCCAGAAATTTCTGAGGTGTCTGATTCTTGAATGGCCTACCACAAAATGTTGATAGATTGCTACACCTCAATTCATGAGGGAACCTGCCAGTGGCCTTGAAGGAAATTGTGGTGTGCCAATTTCTTGAAGTCTTTCCTGAATCCAGGAAATTATTGCCAATTCCCAACCTTCTCTTTTGTGGGAGCTTGCTGAGACAATGGTGAACCCTCAACTGCAGAACTCCTTTGAGGAAGCAGGTGAGTGTCCAGGTTTAGACATTCTGACAACAATGGCTGGATTAATAGATAACCTTGGCCAGGAACTAACTGGAGGAAATAAGCTCAATCCAATCATTTTAGACCTCTTAGCAGCTTTCATTACCACCAGTTATGGTATCTTTCTGGACCACCTGCAGGGCCTGGAGATTGCAGGCAACATTGCAGTGGTTCTGCTCTTCCCTCAGTGGTCAGTCCCAGTAGGTAGTGGGTGAGGATGGCAGGTAGGTCCAGTGGCTGCAGTGCCACAGGAGTTAATCCTCTCCTCTCCCCACTTCACAATCCATATGATTGCCACTGGAGAAGTCACCTTGTTGTTTGGGGTTTGGTATTACCAACATACTAATTGATACCTTAGATTTGCATTGCTACTGCACGCAGGTAAGACTGGTGATACTGCTGATATTCTGCTCCAATACCTGGAGACTATAAGAGTCTGAATCGCTGGATCATTTTGCCTTTAGAAGTTGTGGGAGCTCTGGAAGCTTTCAAGAAGAGAGTGGACTGCCATCTGTCAGAAATGGTGTAGGGTTTCCTGCTTGGGCGTGGGCGTGGGGGGTTGGACTAGATAACCTACAAGGTCCCTTTCAAATCTGCCAATCTGTTAGAATCTGTTAGATTTAGAACAAGATTATACTGAATTCAAAAGAAAACACGATAGGTAGTTCAGGGTTGAACCGGGGAGTTCTTGGTGTTCTCTGAGCTTGGTTGTTTGCTTGCAGATGTTTTATTACTTGACTAACAACATCACCCATATGACTATGCTCACATTCAGTAAATCACACCTTGCTGAAACAAAACAAAAAAAAGCAGCGCATGAACAAAACTTAAGAAAGAGAAATAGTTTAAATCAGAAGGGGAAAACGGATGGCCTTTCCACCTTTGAAAATAGGCTTAAGGGCCCGAATTTATGCCTAAGAAATTTCCAACCAAGAAAGCGCCCAGGACTCTAGCCAGACACGGAGTGCCTGCAAGGGCACGTGTGGGTCGTGGTCCGCTCCACAGTCCCTGGAGTTCGTAGGTCCAGGACAACAGGTCTATGACGCGCAAGGAGGCCCCACACAAAAGGAGGAGGGAGGAGTGGCGCGACGCGGCGTATCCGTCTGCAGCAGGTGCGATCCCACTTTCGCCAGGGGGCAATTTTGAAGCTCCGCGCAGGTTAGGCGAGGCGGGGCGAGGAGAAGGGAGGGGAGGGAAGGCCGTTCTCCCTTCCGAAGCTGACGGCCGAAGGGAGCCAACTGCGAAAGAGGGAGGCGGCAGCGAAGTGAAGTGAACCGAACCAGCGGTCTCGTCCCGGGCGCGCATCTCGCCCCGTCTCCAGATTTCCCCTTCGCGCTTGCCTTTTAGGAATGTGCTGATTCTTCTCACCCCGAAGCGCGCATGGAGCTCCCGGAGCCGCTGTGGGTAAACAGGAGCTGTGCCAGCGGTGAGTGAGCGCGCTCGTTTGGCCCCCAGGTTGGCTTTTGAGGAGGCTCCCTTTCCTATCCACTTGCATTTCTCAGGTTCACGGAAAACCTTTCCTCCCCTCCAAATTCTCCCGGCATGGCGTTGCCTTCTAAGGAACGATTGTGGGAAAAACCTTCCTCCCCCCCTCCCTCCTTCGCGACGAATCTGACTTAACCTGTTGTCCCTGGGACAGATGCAAGAAGGCAAGATGGTTTCTAAAAAACCTTGATCAGAAAATGCGTAAGGTCTCCATCCCTGCTCCCCCACCCTCCCACCCCAACTTGGCCCTCCTTGCATCCTCTTTGGCACAGCTCTTTCTTCTGTGGGGAGAGATCGGAAGCTATCCGTTTTCTTGGATTCCAGAAGTTTCCACTCAACTTCTCCTTCTCCTCCAAAAGAGAACAAGAATGAACCATACTGTATAATTCAGTATTTCTCAACCTTAGTGCCTTTTAAGAGGTGTAGACTTCACCTCCCCAAGTAGAATTCTGGGAGTTGAGGTCTATACTCCTTAAAATTAATCTGCCAAGAATTATATAATTGCTGGATCAAAAGGAAGATGGATTAGCTGAGGGCAAGATGACTTTTTAAAATGAACTTTCCTAATTTTGCATTCAGCTGTAAAACAGTTTGCACTGGGATATTTACTAATTTGGGACTAAGAATTCAGCCAGGTATTTTTATTTAATTCATGGTGAAAACGCACAAGACCCAAGATTGGGAGAAAAGTTGCCTCCAAATTGCTTTTGAAAATATTATCTTTGACATTCATGAGTAACTCTCAAGACAAAACTGGAACACAGGCTAGTGGAATGTGGGGTCATCTTCCTGTGATACAACTGGGGGAAGGCCAAATAGAGGAAGCAAAGATTTTGAGTATATAAGGAACAAATCAGCCCCATCAAGCCACTCCTGTTTGTCCTAAGCCTACAAAGTTCGTGAAACCAGAAAACCAAACCTTATTAGAAATGGAGGTGAAAGGAGCAAGGGTGTGATTGCCTAACATCCTCCCACAATCCTGCTCAGCTCTTCAGCTTCTTTTATAGAGTTTGTTCTGTATTTTGCTAAGCAAAGAATTGGGTCTGTTTGTTCTGGAAGAAGATTCTTCAGGCAGTGGATCCTGAAAGATTTATAAGAAGCCTGATCCAGGAAAGTAACCTGGGAATTCTACAGATTGATGTGTAATCACTTCTTCAGAGCAGTAATGTTCTCCAATTTGCATACTGAGAGGCGTTATCCTGCTGCTCACTCATACATCTTTGCTACTCTGTTGTTAAATTACCAATGCAGATTTAATTTATTCTTGTAGAAGCAAAGTTGAGCCTTGTTTCCATAAACTAAATCCACTTGCCAGAGTCAGTAGTTTGCTAGTCTTTCCCAGTACTATATATTGTTGATTTTATTGAGAAGTATGTCTTATTACATGTATCTAGTTAAAAATTCCCATGATTGACAGGTTTATGGATTAATTATGAGATTTTTCTAGCAGAAATTTAGAAGAAAGGCAAGTTCCCTAAGTAAACAAACAGGTGTGTATGAGTTACTAAAATATCCTATAATATATTGGGATACCTGATTGCCTCTACCAAACAAGCCTTAGATCTGAGACAGAGGGACTCAGTTTCCTGATTTGAAAAGTTGTCTTTGCCTGAGAAGTGTTCAGAACAATTTCTTCTTCCTTTGAGACAACCATGGCCTGGAACACTGAGAATCTCCATAAGACATTCTTTTTTAAAAAAGTTTGAAAGGAAATTCTGCTTCTTTAATACCGTGTTTCTCACAAAATAAGGCAGAGCCTTATTTATTTTTTTTGACCCCTGAAAAAACAGCTAAGCCGTCTTTTCGGGGGTGACTTAATCCCCCCCCCTTGCATTCTCGGGCGGGTGGACGGCGACAGCTTGGATGTTGACCTCGGCATTGGTGGGGCACTTCGTATCGGAAGACCTTCCGCCACTATTGCTTTCCCTTCTCCCCATGCTGCCATGGCATTTAGAGCAACGCTGCGGCGTTTGGCGCAGCCACATGTGGCCAGCCAGGGCTCCTCCCTGCAACCGGAGCCCGGTGGAGACACTCGGCTTCAGGCGCTCCTGTTGCTGGCTTCCCTTCGCCTTTGAAGGCAAAGCCAATTCTTTTAAAAACGACGCCCTACTACCGGTATGACAAAGCCTCCTCTGCCCGAGAGGGCAGCCCAACCCCATGTGGGGAAGCGAATCTCCCGGGGCTGCAGCGCAGGATTGGCCCACCCCGGGAGAAGCACCAAGGTGCCATTCCTGCCCAATGGCAGAGCTCTCGCCAAGGCAGTGAGTGTCTTCCCGCCGGGTCCTCCGCTCATCCCGCCAGGGCCACATCAGAGCCATGTGGGCTGGGCAGAGCCAGGAAAGTGAGCCACGGGTGCGCGCCCACCTGCCAAACAAAAGAGCTGGGCCAACCCGAGCTTGGTTTCCTTCCCAAGTCCTTCCAGCCCGAACCCGAAGTGGCCACCAGGAGAGGCACCGAGGCAGTGATAGCACCCACCCACCCATGGACAGGGAGGCAAGGCGACGCCTGTGCCGTGTTCTCCTCTGAGCTGAGCCCCGCCGAGTAAGCACCGATGCCTGTGTCGCTGCAGCGTTTGGAGCTGCTGGCAGATTTGAAGATGCGTGGGGATGGGGATGGGCTGGGCGAGGGATGGAAAGGACGGGTGGCTTTGGGCTTTCTCCGCCGGACCCGCCGGCCAGGGAAGCAGCACTTCCGTTGCCTTGCCTCCCTGTCTGTGGACGGGTGGGTGCTATCACTGCCTCAGGCAGCCTCTCCCGGTGGTCCCTTCGGGTCTGGGTTGGAGGGACTTGGGAAGGAAGCCAAGCTCGGCTCGGCCCGGCTCTTTCGCTTGGCAGATGGGCGTGTCCCCATGGCTTGCTTTCCTGGCTCTGCCCAGCCCACACAGTTCTGGTGCGGCCCTGGCGGGATGAGCAGAGGGCCCGGCAGGGAGGCCCTCGCTGCCTTGGTGAGAGCTCTGCTGCCGGACAGGAGGGCCCACCTGTCAGCTGAGCTGGGCACCCCAGGCGAAGCTCTTTGCGCTCTGCCCAGCGCAAGGCAGGGATGGTGGCTGAGCACTTCTCCCGGGGTGGGCCAATCCTGTGCTGCGGCCCCAGGAGATTTGCCTCCCCACGTGGGGTTGGGCTGCCTCTCAGGCAGGGGAGGCTTTGTCGTACCGGTAGTAGGGCTTTTTTTTTTTAGAATTGGCTTTGCCTTCGAAGGCGAATGGAAGGCGGCAACAGGAACGCATGAAGCTGAGTGTCTCCGCTGGGCTCTGGTTGCAGGGAGGAGCCCTGGCTGGCCGCGTGTGGCTGCGCCAAATGCCGCGGCATTGCTCTAAATGCCGCGGCAGCATGGGGAGAAGGGAAAGCAACGGTGGCGGAAGGTCTCCCGATACGAAGTGCCCCACCAATGCAGAAGTCAACTCAGGCAGCACCATATCCGGGTATGCAACAAAAGTACTTCCTAACGGCAAGCCTCCCCGCCATTCTCCCCCATTTCGCATGTTTAATGTAGGCCTTAATTTGGGGGGAGGGGCTTAATTCCATTTTATGCCTATAAAACATGCTGGGACTTCCTATTGCGGGAGGCCGTATTCTTGGAGAAACATGGTATGCTTTCTGGTTTATCACCACTTCTTTCTGCTGTGTACATGGACTAGGCCTAACATTCAATTCCTATCTATTCAGAGGGCTTTGAACTTAATTTCTTAACAAAAAGTGCAGTAGAATCTGTCTTAATAAAATGTATGAGTTAACAACTCTCCATTTTCAGCCTCTTTCTTTCTGATTATTTGCTTTTGAGGGTAACTATCACAGAAGAAAGAAAGGGCTAGCTATTGCATGACATTAGGGTATTGTAGCTTCAGAACTAATAAGAATTCTCTTTTTGTTTTCAGGCTCACAAAGACTGTCCTGTATTAGGCAAAGTGCCAGGGTCTAAACACCACCATGCTATATTTGCATTGCTGTCGATATAATTTAGCTGCAATTTTCTTTTTTTCTGTTTAATTTGACAAAAGACAGGTTTGAGTTTCCTGTTCCCTCAGTATATTTGGTCATTATCTTTTCTTTTGTATTTAAGCAGTTTTAGCAAATTCATTAATATAGATAGAGCTGCTAATATTTTTTTTTGTAATGATTCTGTCAATTATATTCTTCTGTTTCTGATTTGTGAACATATCCATTCAATACATATTACTTCATTATTAAAACTCAAACAAGAAACAACAACAGCAACAAAAAAACAAAAAACAAATGAAAGAACAAATGAGACTATTTATTTTTAAGAAGGTGGTTTTGATCCAGTATTGTCTGGTTCAAACAAAAAGACACCTCCTGGCACCTCAAGGAGCCCTGTCGATTTCTCGATGTCCTGTCCCACTAAAATTTCTGAATATGCAATTCCAAAATGTCCACGAGATTCAGGAATTTATATATTTATTAACCCCATTTATATACCACCCATCTCACTAATGAAGTGACTGTGGGTGGTTTACAGAATAAAACCCCCCATAAAATCCATACCAAAAAAATAAATAAAATTAACAAAGTTAAAGGACGGAGTAAAAAAGATGGAGGGAATGCCCTTAAAGCCACAAACGAATCCCAGAATTGCATATTACTTTTCTGTCCCCATGTCAATTGGAAGATCCAGATTTTAATGTTGTTCTAGAATACCAGAAAGCAGTGAGGGGATTCAATTTTTTTTACTACCGGTTCTGTGGGCGTGGCTTGGTGGGAGTGGCAGGGAAAGGATATTGTCAAATCTCCAATCAGAGGTGGTGTTTGCTGGTTCTCTGAACTATTCAAAATTTCCGTTACCGGTTCTCCAGAACTGGTCAGAACCTGCTGAAGACCACCTCTGCCAGAAAGTTAAGGGCCAGCCTCACCTTAAGGGGCAGAATGGATTGGGGCAATGGCAGAGAAGGACCTCTTCCTGGACCCTGTCAGTCAAAGTTCTTTAGTGGCCCTGCCTGATTGGCTGGGATGGGCCAATATAACTGGGATAAGACAGGGAAACCTGGACCCATGGCCGGAAGGCCTTTAAAGAAATACCTTGAATGGCTGGGAAGAGGGCTGTGATGGGCAAAGAGACAGAAAAGGTTATATTATCTGAGGAAAAAAAATCTACTCATTACATATCTTGAGTGGAAAAAAAAATCACTTGGCGCCTGCAGGTGCACTTGGGAAGCTTTAGTTGAAACTATTAACCTTCCTAGATTTTGTTCACTCACTATATTTTACTTCTTCATTAAGAACATTAATTAACTTTAAGACGTGCATCTCTTCTCATGAGAAACACTTTATGATAGTTTAGGCAATTTTGTTGTATAAATGAAATCAGATTGTTGGGGTGTGGGGGGGAGGGAGAGACAGTCCTAACATGTGACAATTCTAAAAAACAATCTGCCTCAGTCTGTCTTTCTGATAGTTCAGTAGTCTTACGTTAGACATGGATCCATAGTTTCGGCAATGATAGATAAGGTACAGTATAATGGTGGGCATGCCTACATTCTCTTACAGCAGGAAGCTCTCAGACTAAGCAATTACTGGGGTATGTAGAAAGAATGAGGCATTTAAATATTGTGGACAGGCTTCTGCCTTTGGCGCTCTCCCTGGTCTTGCCTTCTTCTGCTGGAGACAATAGAATCCCCCCAGCTCCACCCTGGCATCACAGGTGCCCCCCACACGAGTAATGCCCATCCTGGCAATGTCGTCCCCCACCCCTGAGGTCAAACTCAACCCTGATGCAGCCCTCCATGACATTGAGTTTGACACTCCTGCTCCTGTCCTAGAGTATATATATCCATATTCATACTTACAGGTGACTCACATTCAGACCTGAAGAGAAAGGGGAAAGGTTCAAAGCATATTGTACTCTGAGAAAGTTTAGAAAACCCACCTTTATTCTCCATATATAAATTTATCTGTAACTGATTTCAGATGAGTTGCTATTTCTCAGGCCGCTTTGAAGATGAGGTAGTTGAGAAGAAATAATTAGCTCTTGAAACCTAAGTATAAATATAATAAAATCAATTATTTAAAATAGTTATACTCATCATGCATAAATATTACTTGTACCATTGCTAGATAATGTTTCATGGCTTCCCCAATTAAATTTCCATGTGCACAATAGTGTACTTGAAATTTGTTTTTTCATTTTTCATACAGAGCAGCTGATGAGGATCTGTGGAAAATCTTCAAACAGCCTCCCCCCCCCCCATTTTCTGATAACCACACCACTTCAACTTAGAATAGACAATGAGATAGCTCAGAACTTGTGAAAAAATATTATCTTCTCATTATTTCCACCTTATAAAATGGAGACAAGCTTTTCCTCGGGGAAACACTGAAATAGTTAATTGAATATGTACTAATTCGATGTGTATGCGTTGAAGGTTCCTGTAAATAATCTTACAATCAGGGAACCTTTTAAAGAGTAGAGATGGTCAAAGGCCATTTTCAAATACTAATTTATTGCAGAGCAAGTCAAATGTGAGAACATGCATTGGAAGGACAATGGTTTACAGTAATAATGTCATAGTCTTAGAAATATGTAATTAAAAAAACCCAAGAAGCAATAAGTGTCTAAATACACAGTCTCATCTCAGCTGAATTTCAAGACTGAAATAAACCTTGAAAATATTTGCAAGAAAGATACAGTACCTCCAGATTGTAGGTTATTATAAAGTGGTGTTTTAAGGCCTCTGGATGCCACTGTTTCTCAATTCTTCTCCTTGCCTAGATTTAGAATGTATACTTTTAACCTCAGAGTTTTGCTAATTAAATGCCACTCTTCATGCAAAAATCCAAATGAAGAAAGAAAAATTCCTAACAATAATATAATCTAGGAGATTGCATGCAAAATTAAAGACATGTGGGCTGATAGTTATTAATGTCTTAATTTCTAATCTTTTCTTCTCCCCCACATTTCCTTGTCTTGCTTAGGCTCTCTGATCACTCTGGCTTGCCTGAAACATCATGCTGTTTGCCAAATCATAAAGAATGTCAGTTCTCCAGTTTCACCCCATACAAATGTTAATTTAAGTTCCAACTGGATGGTAAAAATTGAAGACAAATATGGCTTTTACATTGGCTTGGCCTTGGCCATCTTTTCAAGTTTTCTCATTGGCACCAGTGTCATTGTCAAGAAGAAAGGACTACGTCGACTAGTGGAGAAAGGAGGCATCAGGGCTGGTATGGATTTGTTGACTTAAAAGAGGAGACAGAAAAATCTGTTTTCTGGAAAAGAACTCTAGTGGCATTTAAGCCAGCTTTTTCTAAGCATGGTCGTATTGGAATTCAACTCTCATAAAAATTCAGAGCCAGTATAATCAAGGATATGCTGACTGGGAATAATAGTTGTTAGAAAACACAGTGGTCAGGTTCCAGGTTGGAGAAGTAATTAATACCTTCTGGCTTCTGAAGACCCCTTCAGGTATCATATTGTATTCATCCTATGTTGGCTATTTTAAATACTCAACCTGAAACTTTAGAGCGATGCTACTAGTCAGTCTTCACAGCATAGGTCCAAGTGGACTAATAATCCAGTCCTGCCTCATAGAGTAACAATACTTCCTCTAGCATAATATATTTCTGGAGAAAATGTTGAAAAACAAGTCTGTAACAATGTACACTATGGCTTATAGATAAAATATTCAAGTCAGAGCATAAGGTTACAGCAGCTAATTTCAGAAATGTTAAGCCATGAGAGTTCAGCCCATGCACACAAGAGGTGTGTGTATGTGGGAGGGATTTTAAGGGCCTGCCAGTTCAGGTACTATTTGCTTTTCTTTATTGAAAGGCATTTAAAAGTCATTGAGCATATATATGTTGTGGCTTGTAGGTCAACTGTTTTTTTCCCCTTCAATCTAGGCTGTTGTTTCTTTCTCTCTTTTATGTTTAAGTATTGTAGCATTCTGTTTTATTTTGTATGGAAGATTTTTACAAAATGCCCCTCTAAATATATCCTTTTTATTTCCTCAGGAGATGGAGGTCATGGCTATCTAAGAGACTGGCTGTGGTGGGCTGGTTTGCTAACCAGTAAGTACGATTATATTTAGCCAGGCCTGGGTATCTGATCAAATATTTAACCTCAGTGATTACTAAGGACTTAATCCCTCTGTGTTTCCCTGGGTCAAAAAGATTATTTTACATGCTACAGTTACAGAAATTGTTTCTACAACTTTTTTTTTTTTTTTTGGCCTTTTTGTACTTGAAAGAGTTTATGCTTGAATTCAGTAAATAACCTTTTGTGCTTAAAGGACTCTTTGCACTGAGAGGTTACGCTGAAGCCTGTGGAAATTTTTTTTCCAGATCTTATCACTGTAACGTAGGAATGTTGAGGAATTTAAATGATTCTGTCTTCAAGAAGAGACATTTGCTGGTCAGAGCCAGCGATATGCCATATAGAACTTCAGCAACTGACAAATTTATAATGGTGTGAGCTTTGGTGGACTGGAAGCAGGAAATATTTGCAGGCAACTTCAGTCCCTGCAAATGTATATGCCAAAATATATTTTGAATACAGTACAAAATGTTTTGTTTTGTTTTTGGCTATATTGGTCCTCTGGAAGCTACTGTTTTAAATCATTGATTATTGCATTGTAAGTTGAGAATACCATCATTTGCTTAATAATTTGGATTCCTTTTCTTATTTACAAAGAGATATTGACAAAGACTTGGATCCTGATCTATTGGAAAACTTGGGGGACATTTTGTTGGAACCTTATTGTTTTCAAAGAGTGTTGTGCAGATAATCCTCAATTTATTACCACAGTTGGGACCGGAATTTTGATCACTGAACGATTTGACTATAATAGATGTCACGTGACCACATTCCTTAGCAACCAGCCACCTGGCAATCCCAGTTCCCATATTTAACCAAATTTTATCAGTCATTAGCCAAATACTCACCCCGGCAACCCATTAACATCAGTAAGGATCCACAACACAAGAGCACACAACAGATGTAAACTTAATGTTAACCACTCCAAACTTGATTGCAGGAAGTATGATTTCAGCAACAGAATGGTCAGTGTCTGGAACTCACTACTTGATTCTGTTGTCACCTGCTCAAACCCCCACTCTTTTACCCTCAAACTAACCTCCATCGACCTTACCCCATTCCTAAGAGGTCTGTAAGGGGCGTGCATAAGCACACCATCGTGCCTACCGTCCCTGTGCTATTGTCCCCAATTATTAGTTCCTATTTCTTACATTCAAACTTGTGTTTATTCTTATTTCTATTTTATTATAAGCTTTTGACTAAATAAAAAATAAAATAAAAACTCCTCCACCCACCTATCTCACCGCCCCACACACACACATACTGCCCTTTTGGCTGCCCTGCACCCTGCCTTGTGGGTTGGCAAACAGCCCCAGAACTGTGCAACTCTGGGAGTGCTTGCCATGCTCTGGAAAGACTATCCCAGCCCAGTCCCGGTCAACCTTGCCACCCTGCACTCCCAAGATCTTTACAACCCCAGCTAATCTTTGCTGTCTTCTTGCTTCCACTACTGACAAGATGTTGCAGCCTGCTTTAAGCTGATTTAGGCTCTTCTTTCCCCCTTTTTTCACAGTGCAAAGCCAGCCTCAGCCCCCACCCCCACCCCCACCCCAGGAGCTCTTTGCAAAGGAGCATTTTAGTTTGCTGCAACGGTTCAGGGGCTGCCTTAGGCTTTCCTTCCTTTTTCACAGCACAAAGGAGCCAGGAGGGCAGGCATTCCTTGTCAGCAGTGGGAGCCAGATGGGGAGAGCAGCAGGGAACCAAAAGGCATAGATGGGGGGGAAGGGGGGATGGGAGTTATGGTACCCTGTGATCATAAGCGCAGGTGGGCTGCCAGTGCCTGAATTTTGACTGAGTGACAATGAAGGACATCCTTCAATGTCATAAATTTAGGCACAGGTCCTAAGTTCCTTCATTCAGCATTATCGTAACGATCTCTGAACCAATAGCCATAAGTCATGGACTATCTGGACAGATAACCTTTTGCTTAGAGTTTCTAAGCTTTAACATTTTCTTACTAAGACAATGGTGTAGAACGGAGTGGAATTGCGGGCCAGTGAGAACCTAAATAGTAATAATTGTAATTCACCTGTTCTTTTTTCTTTTTCTCCCTGGTGCCTGTTTGCTCAGTGGCTGCAGGAGAGGCCGCCAACTTTGCCGCATATGCCTTTGCAGCTGCAACTATTGTTACACCACTCGGGGCACTTAGTGTGCTTATAAGGTGACTTCCTTTTATTTTGCTCTTTTCTCCTACATTTATTCTAAGTCTAGGTGTTAATAATGTGATCTGACTTGCCAGAAGAAAAGAGATTTCTAATCTTGTGCTAATATACCAATAGCCAGATATGTACTTAAGTCCTGTTTATTTTTTCCCCTCTCAAAATTGATCTTGCAGATTAGTTTTGTGTTTCAGTGACTTTAATCTAAGTCAATTAATAGAATACAGAGGACTTTATGTTTGTTATCAGTAACTTACAAGCGTAACAGGAAGAATAAAGGCTGTATTTCTGTATTTGTCTGTTGTGCCTAGTGCCATTTTGTCCTCTTATTTGCTTGGAGAACGGCTGAACTTGCTAGGCAAACTTGGATGCATGCTGAGCATTGTGGGTAGCACCGTTCTTGTGATACATGCTCCAGAAGAAGAGGAAATCACCACTTTAGGAGAATTGCTTTCAAAACTGAAGGAACCAGGTAAACTTATGAAATAAGGTAGCAAAGGAATGAAGGTGTGTTGTGCTTAGTTGGAATGTTATCACATCTGAACCAGTTTCCTAGGGGCAGTAATGTGATGATTGTAAAAGAGTCTTGCACAAGGGTGAATCTTCCATGAAGTTGCCATGATTTGGGTTCAGTGGCATCCCATGGGCAGTGCCAATTGTCTCACTCCTCTTTCCCAGGGAGAAAAGTTTATGAAACTCTCGTGTCCTGTTGTCAATTTTGTTTTACATTTCATTTTGAATTAATATAAATTTCACTTTAAAAAATGGACTTCAAGATGAGATACAGGAAAACAGTTTTTGGAGTGCAGCCTTTCAGAGAAAATAGGTATACAGAGCATATATGCCTGCCTTTCACTGAATCTTATCCTTAGAGTTGTATGATCAATTGCAAAGTAGTCCCAAATTCAATAATTGGAATATTTCATTAATCCTCACAACTTTAGTGGTCTGCAGCCAGAAAGAAAGGATTGATATTCATATCTGTCTCCTAGGTTTATCCTCCACATTTTCTAGGGCCATATAGGCTTGTGTCCTTAAAAGCTTTGTTTTTCTGTACTTATATCTTGTTCTTGCATGTGTAGGAGGATGCCCATTCCTTACAATAAACTGATTGATTGATTTAAGTTCCTAAAAACAATGCAGTGCTGTGTTGTTCTACCCATCCATTTATTGTACTGGCCAATGCTTGTGTTAAGCATTGCATTCTGTCTTGAATAAAAATGTCACAATTTATCATCTTTTTTTTATATTTCTTCCAGGTTTTCTTGTTTATGCCAGCATCCTCTTGGTTATCAGCTTAGTTCTGATTTGTTTCCTAGCACCACGTTATGGCCAGACCAATATTCTCATCTACCTCTCCATCTGTTCTGTGATTGGGGCTTTCTCCGTCTCTTCTGTAAAAGGGCTTGGCATTGCCATCAAGAGTTTTTTCACTCACCTGCCTGTTCTACAAAACCCATTGACCTGGATTCTTGTCTTCACATTAGTGGTTTCTATAGCTACTCAGATCAACTACCTCAATAAAGCTCTGGACATCTTCAACACCTCTATGGTGTTTCCCATTTACTATGTGCTCTTCACCACTGTTGTCATCACAACTTCAGTTATCCTCTTTAAAGAGTGGGTCACCATGTCTGTAGCAGACATTACCGGGACAGTATGTGGATTTCTTACCATCATTTTAGGAGTGTTTTTACTCCATGCTTTCAAGGATATGGATGTCAGTTTGAAGAATCTGCCACAAACATTCCAGACTTCTAACGAGACGCCAGCAATTAAGGATGACAAGAATACTTTAATAGAGCTGGATAATCCAGACACCAAGGATAATAACAAACCCAAAGTATTCATGATCTTCAGTTGAAACCTAATTTAATATTTCTATTTCTTTGAGTAATGGGCCAAACAGTATAAAAACATGCAAGCATCTGGAAGAATGTAAATGAAGCATCACCATATGTGCCTTTTGAAAACAGCAACCAACTTCAACACAACTACATCCACATTTCTGCTTCTGCTCTTTTCATCCTTGGCAATGGCACTATATTTTGCACATTCTAGAATCAATAGCAGTGGTGATTATATTTGTGTCAAACATGGGCCTATTCCCTCTGCCTTTGGAAGAAGTGGCATTGTTTCTTCCAGATCTTTCTCACTCTTCCCCTCTCTTCACGAGAAAAAGCTGTATTCATTGAAGTGTGTAAAGAATTTGAAGCTTCAAAAGAAAGCATGTCTATTTTTTCTAGCTAGGAATACTCAAGTCATTTTTGAAAATATGGTAAAATAAAGAGCTACATTTCCCTCCAGATTGTAATATTGCCCAAGACATCCAGAACTTTCAGTCGTGTCAATGAAAGGGTGCAGTCTCAAAAAATTGCCCTACAGCCCTTTTCTTGAATATTGGATTTTAATGTATTTTGGTGCTTTCCCTATTTTAATTAATTTTACTGATACTATTAGATGTTCAGATATAGCAGCAGTTATCTTTCATTTTCCATAAATATGAATTATAATGTAATTGTGATAATGCTTTGTTTTGTAGATTATATTTTGTAGATATTTGGGGGAAATTGGGTAATTTCTATAATTTAGAACTCAGTTATGATCACAGAAAGTGTAAACTGGGATCAAAACCGTCAGAAGTAATTAATAATATTTAGTTATATCAAGTGAATGAGTTAGAGGCTTAACTGCCTATGATAATTATCACTACCCACCCCAAATATGCTATATTACTGGTTAATGAAAGTCTTTTTAGCCTGGATGACCAAGATGTTCTAAAGTGTTACCATTGTCTGTGCTTGTGAAGATTCACATAGGACGACTGGCTTGAGTTAACTATTTGTTGTATCAACTGCAAAATTTACAAACTAAATTTCGTCAAGTTTGAAAGTATACTTCATTACAAAAAGCTTCTGGATAAATATTTCAGGCTGTTTTGAGTCTTGTCTCTATGCTTCTAAATTAATGAGCCTATACTGATTATTGTAAAGTCAGAAAAGTAGACAAAACAAGCTCATACATAGTTCCAATAAAGGAGTATATTTGTAGCTCAGGCTTGAAATGAGGGTCCTTGGTGCTCTCTGAGCTTGCTTTTCTTGCAGATGTTTCATTACCCTAAGTAACATCATTAGTAGCACTGATGATGTTATCTAGTTAGGGTAATGAAACATCTGCAAGAAAACAAGCAAGCTCAGAGAGCACCAAGCACCCCTTCTATATAGTTCTCTGTACTTGGCTATTGGTCAACAGCAGAATATAATTCTCATTTATAAAAGAAGACTATTTTATAATGCAACAGATACAACTGCAGGGATCACAAGAGCACATGTAACTTTTAAGAGGAATACCATCATGAGGTTTTTTGGAGGAGTTCCATCAATGCATAGTTCATGGGATGGTTCTATGAAAGTGCTAAACCAAAAGTTTTCTCTGAACACTTTTTTTTTTGTAAAATTGTATTTTTTCTTTTTGTGAGAGTGTAGTGCAAATGTGCCTTGTAATGGGTTGTTGCCCTTCTCTTTCCTGCATTTGAAAGCCAGCTGGGTGGCTTTGGGTCAGTTATTCTCTCTTAGCCCAACTCACCTTAGATTGTTGTGGGCAAAATAGGAGGAGGAAGGAGTGTAGGTAGTCCTCAATTTACAACCATTTGCTTAGGGGCCAGAGTTACAACGGCACTGAGAAAAGTGAGCTATGCCTATTTTTCGCATCCCCATGGTCATGTGATCAAAATTCAGTCGTATGTATTTATGATGGTTGCAGTGTCCCAGAGTCACGTAATCATCCTTGGCAATCTTCTGACAAGCAAAATCAATAGGGAAGCCAGGTTAATTAAATAACTGTGACTAACTTAATAATGGCAATGGTTCACCTAACAATTGTGACAAGAAAGGACGTAAAATAGGGCAACTCACTTAAAAATGGTCTTGCTCAGCAATGGAAATTTTGAGCTCAATTGTGATAAATCAAGGACTTTCTGTATTAGGTATCTTCATCGCCTTAATTATAAAAAATAATAATAAAAGATGGGATTTTAAAAAAACCTGACCCCTCCCAAATTTCCCCTACTTGCAGTTTCACTTCATATAAATAGTCATTCTCTTCTATACTTATATTTGCTACTTTATTTTCAGTGCAAAATGTTATTTCTTGGTTTTGGAACCTGTAGATCAATGGGAAGGAAGATGGGTGAATAGATACGTAAGTAGGTAGGTACTGTAAAAAAAATAATAAAGTTCTCAAAATTAAGGTTCTACATTCACTTGGGGATGGAAAATGATATATTTGAAGCTTTCTGGGGGGTTAGATGCAATGATCTGGTATTAAGGGCTGTTGTGCCCTGCTGGCATCAGAAAAAAGCTTTTTGTGTCTATTTCTTATGCTAAGCCATAATGTAGATTTTGTTTAATGTATATAAACCCAGCCACTCTGGTTTGGCTTTCATTACAGTGAAGGTTTGTTTCACAGGTACTACAATTTCCAAAACTACAAAAAAAAAACCACAACCAACAACTGTCAAGCAAATCTTGTAAAGCTTTGTTGCCAATGAATGTATTTTACAATTAGATAATTGTATAATTGAATTTTGCAAATGACTTTATAAATGACTGAAACTTGTTCTTGTCTCATTCATAAGACTTTTAGCACAACTCCTTTCGTGTGGAAGAACATATCGTTCTTATGAACTTCCAAAGCTGGTATTCTGTTTCATTTGCTAGTTTTTATTCTCCTTTAACATCTTTTCCCAAATTAGCCTTGTTTTATGGGAGAAGGAGAGTTGCAATCCAATATAACTAAAAGGTACGGTATCACATTTGGAGAAACTCTCCTGTATCTGAGATTTACTCTCTGAGTGGTCTGCAAACAAAAGGAAGAAAAAAAAACTCCCATATTTCAATCTAACTGATTTGATGGCCGTGGGGTTTAAAAATGTCATTGTGGGGAAAAGACAGCACAAAGCTGGCAAACTTTAGTTCATCCCCAAAACTCAGAAATCACCCTTGAAGAAAACAGTGACAAAACACTTCTGTACTGATGGCTGTTTAGTACCTCCTGGATCGTAGGCATAAATTTGGGAAGGGCCTGTAGAAGAGGGATGTTGCTCTCTGAACTTTTGAGTTTCCCTAATTCATCCAGTTGGCCACTGTGTAGTACAGAATACTTCATTAGGTGGGTCTGTGCCTGATTCACCAGGATTCATGTTTTATCCAAGGAAACTACATAAGTAAAGCCACATTGTTTCCTGGATTGAATTCAAATAGAAGAAAACTGTATTTTCTAGTTCTCCAGCAATGAGGGCTATTGGTTTAAATAACAGTAACCTCTACCTCTTTAATAGTATCAATCCCCATGCAATAATTTATGACTTGTATGTACACAAATAGCAACCACAAAATTTATTCAGTATATCTAGGCAAAAGGCACAACAAACTGCATTGTTCAAGTATTTGTATAGGTGTACAATTTGTATAGGTGCACAAAAATCATACTGTAAACTCCAAAACAAAGTTGAGACATGGTTTAAAAAAAGGCTTCTTCAAAACATTCTGTGTGGAAATTGTTACAGTGCAGTCTAAGATTATACGGTACTTCAGTTCTAAAGGCAAAAAGGGCACTTTGGAACTCATTTAATCAAATATATATTTTCCTGTGATCAAGCAGCAATGATCACCTCCAGATATTGCATGGCTTGGAAACATGTTTGCCTTTCCCTCCCTCCCTCCCCCAATTTGGTGAGTCCTGATCTTGCCTTTTGCCTTTGAATCCAAAGCACTGCACAGCTCTAGTGTTTATTACGCTTGGAAATAAACTCCACAGGATTTTAGGAGCACAATCTGATTCAATGAGTATTGAACTATAGCCACATGTAACATTTTTCTTCCAATCTATGGCATGCATATGAAAAAACAACTACGTGAAGTATTATCAGTATTAAGGCATATACTGTAATTGAGGCTGTCATTTCCTGTATCGGAAAAGGCAGTGGCCCACAAACTATTGGGAACCAGGGACCAGTTCCATGGAGAGAGGTTTTTCCATGGACTGGAGGAGTGGATTTGCATGCTGCCTGCATCCCACGGATGGGTCTTTGCTTGTTTGTGAGGCTCAGACCAGCGTAGATCCACAGACTGGGGGCTGGGGAACCCTGCTCTAGAACACCGTTACGAGATGTACCAAAATTCCCTCCATCATGCAGTAACAGTAGGAGCACAGTTCCCATTATCACACAAGGAAATGTCTGTTATCCCCAGAAGGTAGAGGGACTTCTCCCTCTACCTTCACAGTTGTATTCCTGCACCAGTGAGAAGGGAGAAATATGCCAATTTTAGAACTCAGGAGGAAGTCACTCTTAAGAACTAGCAATCTGATTAAAAAGATTGCTGTAAAAAATTGGCTGTAAAATATTTTTGGAAACAGAGACACCTTGAAACAATGTGAAATAGGCCAAATAAAGGTTAGTGGAAGAAATGGCAGGATTGTGCATATTTACTTGAAGCAGTGCTAAATTAAGAATCTGATTTTTTATGTCTTCACCTGCCATGGCTCTCAGTAAAGGATTTTTAAATAGGATTCTGCAAAGTTTTGGAAACAGATTTTCAGATTATGCAGGACTGAGAATGTAGGATGTGTTTATATTTCATTAAGGCAGTCATTATATGTCTCCTGGATGATATGGCTACAGCAAGGTTTCAACTCCTGCAACCATAATTTTGAATGACATTATAGTGATCATATTGAACATTTATCTATCCTCTTTTAAAGGACCAAGAATAACTGTATGATGGCTGCACTTTCTAGATACTTTCCTATTGTTAAAGAGTTGCTAGATTGGTGTGGGTTTGAAACATATACATAAGAATGCACAAAATAACTTTGACTTTAAAAATGATCATTTCAGCTATTGCAAACATGGAGCAAAAGAGTTGTTTGGTTCAAGAGTTTAGTTAAAGCAAAACATAGCAGTTCGTTATGAGCGTGAACTTATGTTGGCAGTTTTGGAGTCATTTTCAGCATTTGACTTGTTCTGAGAACTGATTAAGTGATGCTCTTGCTGTTATTGTTCATACTGGATAAGCAGATGTGGAAGTGGGTAGTAGAGCGGAAAGAGTACATGGTTAGAGCAGAACTCTGTTCCTCTTGTTTCCTTTCTAGATTTAATGTTTTTCAAAAAGTGTGTGGGGTGTTTAGTTTTTACTTGATCAAATTTTCTACATAAAACTTGGCATGAAATGCTAATGTTTGTATCTCTCTGGCATGAAAAATAAGGAAATAGGTTGATCTAGAGTTCCCACTAAATTCTATGATCAGAATACTTTTAACAGTTTCAAGCTTTGTCCAACAGAATGAAACTGTTCACATTTCTGCAAATACACCCCTTCGTTCAGAAGAATTTAAAGGGACTAGAAAACTCTTCATTCGTATTACAAATAACTATGCAGTTTTGCTAGGAAGTAAGGAGCACCACAGAAAGATCATGGGAAAGATTTGCTCTTCTTGTAGCTACAAATATTCAGTACGAAACATAAACATACAATATTACTTTGTACTCTGGCAATGTAGTATGCAATTAAAATACTATTTGATAAGCCCAACATTAATCAAAAGCAGCTAATGTCCATATTTTCAGGAACATAATTTTAGATTTTGGTATGGAGTCTTGAACTAACATGTGGGATAACTGGATTATACTCTGCCACAGTTCAGATGCTTAGTTACAATTGGAGCCAGTTTTAAAAACACTTAATACTATATGCACTGTGGCTCTACACCTAGACTAACCATGGCAATTTTACGTCATCAGAAACCAAACAGCACTTCTTTAGCACCAACATATTGCAAAGCAAACTGGAAAAAAAAATCCACACAGGATAAAGGAAGCACCACTTAAAACCTGAGAACATTTGTGAAGCCTCAAATATGCCTCAGTGTTACAATTGCATCATTAGAATTCAAGGTTGTTTAAAGTGCAAAGACAACTTTTGGAGCACAGTTAGAAAAACAATAGACATTTATCAACAGCTCAACTAGCACCATGAGGCAAAAAGCCTATTTTGAGCTTCGTGAACTGTGGTGGACATCGAATTAAACTGGATCATTAGGTATCCCCTAATAAATTTGAATGAGAAACTTATAAAACTTCAAATGTGGGATGAGTAACATCCTTACATAAACACTGATCAATGGGACACTTATATATAGCTCTGCTTTGCATTTTAATCAGGAAATTCTCCATTATAATGATATTATACAGGTTATTGTGGTACCTTATCTGATGACTTTGTTCTTATTACAAATTTGCTGTATTCTTTATGCCAGTGCCAAATTAGAAAGTATAAAAAGTCACTAGTTATATTAAGGACAGTTTTCAAATGTTTTAAATGAATAAGCCCAGCGTATATATGAAAGATAAATACGTTTTTAAAAACTACCTTAAGCAGAGTGGGACAACAGTGACAAAAACACTGTGTGAACCCTGGATAATATCATCATTTTTGTCCTTTTGAAGGTAAAGTCCATACAGCAAAACCCATGAGGATCTCCTGGTAGGTGAGAAATGAGTAGTGATGTGCTGGTTAAATGATGATCGGTGTGTACTGTAGGCACAGTAGCTCATCAGCTCACAAAATTCAAGAAAATTTTAACAATTGGCTCTTGTGAACCAGGCAAGCCAGCTTCAGCACACCATGGGATATTGGGACGAGGGTTTGCTACATCCCTCAGAACAAAAGAATTTTTAAAAGTCTCTTTTTTGCACCTTCTCCAACTGTACCGCAAAATGTTGGTTCCTATCATTTCAAGACTGGACAATAAATAAACTCTAAAGTTACCTATAATAGGCATAATACAGCTTTTAAAACCTACCCTATCTTATCTACAGAAAAAACAGAAAAAAATCCTGCCCTGCCTCATGCATGATAAAATCCAGCCTATTTTTTGTCATTTTCTTCTCTATTTTAGTCCCCTCTAAAACAGCCCACTTCCCTCCTCATATAAAAGGGTTATGAACTTCCTTCAACATATTTTCTTTTGAAATACAGATGGATGCTGTATTAGAAACATCTTTTCATTCTTCACTTTCTGTTGAAATTACATCATAACACTTGAGGAAAGCTCAGCAATTACTTCCCAAAGCTTCATTTCAGAGATAGGTAAGACATCTGAAGCAAATAATAGCTAAGAAGAAATGATGCCAAGACCATCAAGGTTGAAGGGAAACATTTGCCATCACAAAAACACCCTTCATAGCTGGTCAGTACTTGTTACAATTCCAAGGCAAATAGACCTGAGTATACCTCAGAGGATCGTGGAAGTTCAAGGCAAAATATGGACTAACTGCACTTACATTGCTAAAATATCTGAATTTTGAAAAGCGTGGACTGAAAAACTTTGGATTGACAGTTGACACCATAGAAGAACATAAGAGATTAAATATATGTAAGAAGAAGATTCCTTAAAGGGAAGGAAAATTCTTCTCTTAAATGCATAAATGCAAAATTCTTCAAATTGGAAAACTCTTCTATACGATCTAAAATAGTTTAGGAGGATCCCTCACCAGAATGAAATGATCGTGGGGCATCACATTTCTTTCTTCTTTAAAACACTTCAGATTTTGTTCCAGAAAGTGATCAAAAGATAGATATATTGGCTCCATTATGCAATGTTGATTAATCAATCTGTCCATTGTTGAAACAATGAATTGCAGGAGTAATTAAGTCCTCTGCTTCTTTCTTCATGCCAATTTCAACAAACAAATGTTGTAATGGAGAAAGGTAAACCTTTTCTAGAGAATTGCATCAGCCCATGCTACAAAATAAACGTCCATTCCTAAAGGTTGCTCTGAAATTGGCCTCAGTTATTTTTAAGCCTGAGACTTGTACAAAATGAAGCAAAGCCCTTGAAAATTCCAGGTGATAACAAATGGAATTGATGCAGATTTTAGAACCATAAGACAAATTTCAGCTTCTAAACTTCAGAGGATTTGCTGCTCCAGGATTTCTCATGGCTCGATTCTACAAAAGAGAAAAGAATTTTAGTATTTGTACTAATTAGGAGGGTAGGAGAAACTAGAGATATATTTGCATTTAGGTGGAATGATGGAGAGGGATATTTCCAACATACAAACATTTTAAATGCCATGTCACTTCTTATCATAAGTGCTTTATGGCCTAATCCACATACTGTAGCTCTGCTGAATGAAATAAAATAGAATGGCTACTAAATATGCATTGCATCTCAATCTAATATGCTTTCTCTACTTCATGTTTGCACTGATCGCTGACCATACAAATATGTTGTTCTTAGCAGGGGTTGGACTAGAAGACCTCCAAGGTTCCTTCTAACAATATTCTCTTAGACCATCTGTTACCCATTAGGTTTCTGTCAGGATTTGCATTCTCCAAAATTTTTGCATTTTTCCTTATTTAGTAAACTTTCTAGCCAAGTACATAAATGTACCTACTTGCACTAACTGCTGACCATTATACATTACAATAATTCACTCAATTCTGCCCCTCAACCTTAATCTTTGATATAGTAATTGTAAGATCCCTGCTCCTCACTCTTATCAGTTGGGCATTCACTGCAAATCATATGAGTTCCCAGTCAACAACATTGGTTTTACCCACATACAAAGTATACACATATTGATATCTTCAACCAACATTACTCTGGCATACATGAGCTGTAAACTCATCATTTTCCATCGATCTTCTCTAAATAGAAGAATTAGAAACCAGACATTTTCCAGTACCACTGGATTCAGGCAAGGCTACTTGAGCAGGGGACAAACCACTGCCTCTTTGAGAGCCAGGGGGATCATTAGGAATTCTTCAGAGATGCATTTACCACTGCCTGGATCCAATCACATCTCATCTCCCAGGAGATTCGTGACTGTTGTTTCCCAGTCATTCCTGAGCCAAATTGAATGTGTTGTTCTCACCTTTTAATTCAGAATTTATAATAAAGGGTTCTTTTCATGAAGCCAATTGAATAGATAATACTTTTTTTGTGACATCCAAGAACTAAGTAGTCTCCCACGAAAGGCTTATCTGGAGCCTTGAGAATTTTCCAGTGACATTTCATTGCCTCAAGGTTTTTGCATCTGTCATTTTAAAATTCATCTCTTGCTGAATTTTAGTGTTAGGCTTCTCTACCCCTGGAAAATATCATGCTAAAATTATGTGACTATCTTTACTATTCTTTTCTTAAATCAGCTTATCTTTCTGCCCTTTCCCCAAAAAAGGGAAAAAAATTGCTATCGGGTATCCAGTTGAATATTTCAAAACAGGAAAAATATCACACAACACTCGAGTGTTATTTTTTTCCCTTTTATCTTTTATTTATATATCCTTGTTACCATTTTATAGCTCACCTCTGCCAAGACCGCATGTATTTCTGTATTCCTTGAAGTACCATAGGATGGTACTGCTCCTGTATTCACTGTCCTGTTGCCTGAAGAGACTGGATTTGCCGGAAGCGCTCTCTGAGGTGGTCTTAGTCTGGAAGAATCCTAGGGAAAAAAGTAAACATTCTTCAGTTTTTGTGACAGGAGAAAGAGAAAGACAAAGACAGAGAGAAAGAGAGACAGAAAGACAGAGACAGACAGAGAGAGAGAGAGAGAGAGAGAAAGACAGAGACAGAGACAGAGAGACAGACAGAGACAAAGAGAGAATAAACATAATACAGACCTTAGAACTGGATAGATAAATAGGTATCTATTAATAATGTCGTATGAAGAACATTACAAGAGCTCAGAATGAAAAGCAAATTGATTAGGCAGAAAAAACATTACTTATTCATGATTTAAGGTATATCCTCCAACTTGAAACTGCCCAAGTGTGGTAGTGTTGCAACTTCAGAATTTCCGGGTGGCAATGAATACAAATGGAGGCCACCAAATTTGCAAAGGCCAATTTAAGGTAATTATATTCTGCTCTTCCTTTTCATGCTTTATGACATATACAAATATTATACAACAAAATAAAATTGTGCATTTATTTGCATTTTTGGAAGACATACATAAAGGAGCAACATAAATTCTTCCCACCATACTTTTTCTGTGTCTGTGTGTGTATTGGTGTTTATTAAGAGCCATTGTGGTGTAGTGGTTAGAATGCAGTATTACAGGATGACTCTACATTCTCACTGCCAGGACCAGCTCAAGGTTGGTTCAGTCTTCCATCCTTTTGAGGTCAGTAAAATGAGGACTCAAGATTGTTGGGGGCAATATACTGATACTGTAAACCTCTCAGAGAGCTGTAAAGCACTGTGAAGTGGTATATAAGTGCTATTGCTATTCATCTGTCTGTCTGCCTGCCTGCCTGCCCACCCATGGCTCACACACCCCTCCTCAACTGCTGCTGATTTCCCATATAAAAAGCAGAACTCAGAGTCTAGAATCAATATGAAAAAGTATGGGTGTGGTTTTAAGAATCTGTAATACGGAGTCATTGTTCTTTTGCTCTGAAAGGCCCATTTTATCACTGGATTTACCTATATGCCCATGGCACTGCCTCTCTATTACTATGCGTATGCTCTAGCAATTAGTTGTCTAGATTAGTGCAATGTGCTATATATGGGACTTATCTTGCAGAAAGTGCAGAAACATCAGTTAGTATGAAATACAATAACAGGATTTTGTGCAAGCTGCATCAGTCTCACAGTTCTCTCTTCACTGCAGTCTCATGACAGACTCCGGTTGTGGTAGATAAATTGGATCAAACAGATTCCGAATCTAAGTATCATAATTGTCACGTCCACACATCTATGATGCATTTGCACAATTAGATTCAGGAAAAGTTGGGCACTTTTGGTTTCAAGGGATAACAATTGTAGCCTGTTAGGGCCTAGGCATGGCTTGGTTCACCCACAAGCTAAGTTACAAATCTGAAACACAGGGTTTACTAAACCAACTATACATTATGCCAAGCTAAAAATAAAAAAAGTCCTGTTACACCATCAGGCCACTAAAATGAGGAGATGTTCTAGGCAGAGAAGAGATTGGAAGGGAAATTCATTTTGACACAAGGTGATGCTGTCATTTCAACCTTATTGGTTTTGCCAACCAATTTCAACCTGTTTCAGATGAAGTGGAAAGGGCAGTAAAGAGAAATGTGGGCTGTGAGGAGCTCCTCACTTTCCCTTTCTGTAGCTCTCAGGTCCCAATATATTACCCTACTAAACTTTGGCAGTAATCCCATCAAAATACAAAAATGCAACTCCTTTATCATTTATTGATGGGAATCTTTTTTTAAAAGCTTAATTCTCTCATTCTGATATATACAAACAAAACCATTCTCCTGACAATAAATGCCTCTCTTACAGTAATGCTGGGTCCTGAATTACTTTCAGTATATTATTACATCAACCACTATGCTCCCTTGCTCAGTCAAAAACCCTACATAATCCTATATATTCTTCCTGTCAATACTTGCTTACACAAAAGAACTATGAGTGCTCCCCTTATAGGCCAAGTCATGCCAGTACAAGTGACAGTCTATCTGATATATAAGACACACCCAAATGATACACAGTTTATATCTGTGTTGAGAAAAATATATGGCCCAATAATACAATGCAAATTGAAGCAGATACTTCTAAAGTTACATTAGAAAACATTTGCTAGCAAATATCAAATGTAGTAGTTTGAATTTTGCTGGTTTTAAAACACCTGTACAGCTTACACAGAGTTGTTGATAAAGAGGATTTCATAGGTATATAAATTCCTCACCTGCTGAACCATGATGTTTGGAGGTAGAGGTGCGGGCCTGCTTGGTGGAGTTCGTTTTGGCAAATGCTTCTTCTCGGTACGATGTTCTAGAAAGGGGGGTTTCTTTGTATAGTTAGCTGGAAAAGCCGGGGGTGGTGGCTGCCCCTGTCTCTTGAGCTCTGCAGGTGGCTCGCAGTACAGCACTTCAGATTTTGGGAGTGCATTCTGTATATCAGTAATCTACAAGCAAATCAAACAAAGAGGAAGATGGCATTTCTACTTTATTACTTAGGGTGATCGATTGACAACCAATTTTTTTCTGGCTTCAGTAGGGGACAGCACCAAACTGACCCAGTCTGGGCTCAAAACAACTTAGGGCAGACTTAGTTCATACTTAATTGGGGGACCTCAAGGGATTTGCATGGTTATAAGCGAGAATTGGAAGTCAAAGAACAACTCCAAACAACTCCTTGAAGAATGTGTCCATTAAGTCACCGTGAGTCAAACTTATTTTATCTTTACCTTTTCCGTACTCTGGCAAAGACTCATAGAGATCAAATAAGTTTACAGTAATCACTGTGGTTTTATTTTCCAAGTATCTTTCTTGAATGAGTGCTATCAAATGCTGCCAATATATTTTATGTCCTGGCCTAGTAATTGTGTGTGTGTGTGTGTGTGTGTGTGTGTGTACGTATATGTATATATGGATTTTTCTGTTCATTCTTGTGTCCTTATTTTTATAGGCTCCAGCACTTGGAAGAGTACATTTAAAATATAATCTATACACGTCCCTTATTAGAAATATTTTCAATAAATACAATTTGCAACTTTAAAATAGAACAAAATTAAGAGGCATTATAGTATAGTGGTTAAGAGGGTGAGCTTGGAACCCTCCACTTGACCCACTGAGCAACTGAGTCAGGTATTATATTTCAAACCAGCCTTCCCCTGGGGCATTGCTGTAAGAGTAAAATGACAAATCCCCTACTTACATTGCCTCAAGTACAACATAAATAAACAAATAATAAATAAATATATAAATAATGATTTGCAGTGAGATTAAAAATGGTTGGAGATCCCAAAATGGTCTAGTTCAGAGATAATGGGAACCGACATACAGAACAAGTTTCTTGTTACGTTCTAACAAGAAAATTAGTTTTCCAACTAAGGTATTTCATTTGATGGTGTATTTTAAAATGCTGAAGAATCAGAGCATGGCTCAACAGAGGTTTTATTACAAATTAGTCATTTCAAATTACCTTTCTCTGTCCTTGTGGAGTTTTCAATTTGAATGCTGGGTTGGTATGTCCATTCGCTTCCTTCTGAATGGAAGGAGGTGTGCTGTATCCAAACAATAGGGACAAACAAGTATTATAAATCATTTCTGCAGTTGCACTTGCTTTATTTGTATAAAGGTTTCTCTTACAAAGAAAACCACATGTTTTTATCTAGACTAACATTGAAAAAAGGCCAATAAATTCAGTAGCCACGTTGTAACAATTCATATTTCTATGGGTGAAATCTCTTATTAAATATAACAAGAGACCTCTTTTCATAATGTTTCTAGAAGCAGATCTATAGTGCTGACAGGTCTGAATAGTTATCTAAAATCTAAGTGGAATTATGCCCTGGATATATTTCTATTTATAGTTCACACACTATACTAAAGCTCTTATATGTACTCAGCCACTGTGTTTATAATCAGTTTAGGGCAGAAGTTTACAGATTGAGATTTGACCAAGGAAGCCTTTCCCTAAAAGCCTTGAATATGGCCTCCAAAGTTTTTCCAAAAACTGTAATGGTACCTTTATAATATAGATATAAATAAAAGAATACTGGCTTGTTGTGCATATGTATCCAGAAATCAAATGAAATATGAGGGGATATGAGCAACATCACATCGATCCTCATGCCTACTTACCATAAAAAAGCAATCATCTCATTTATTGACAAATTATCTATCCATCCACCCACCCACCCATCCAACCATCCATTCGCTCAATCATTCACTCATTCATTCACCTGGAGTGTTGGGTTTTCTTGGGAGCAAAAATAGTCTTCTTAATTGGCACAAGTTTAGCTCTCCATTTGTAACAGCAAAAGGCTATTCCAATTAAAGTCAAAAGCAAGATGGAAACCAGGACACCTATGATGATTGGAATAGGACCTGGACCAGAAAAAAAAAGCCAAAATTATTCAAATTCACTGATTGTGCTAAAATGTAACAACCACACAAAAACACAACAACAACCCCACTGTAGGATGCCAGCATTTGAACAGGTAATAGTGAAGGACATACCTGTATCATGTGTCACAATGCTGAATATGAGAGAGATGAAAATGTCACTTGCCAAACTCTATCTTCCCCTCAGTTATATCGGAATGAACCACCCAATAAATTGTGGTCCTGCGTCTCCCTGCTCAGTCAAATTCCTGCCCCACAAGCTCTATTCACATGTCAATGATCAAATAACAATACAAATTACACCCACTTTTTTCAAGCATGGGGCCACTGTCCACGCTTCCTCCCTTTCCAGGTTTATCACAAAATGGAGGTGCCCATCCACTGAAACAATGGCAGTTGTGATTGTTGTTGCAAATCTGTATTGAGAGAAAAACCATCAGTGTTACTTCTGTAGTAAACAACCTGCTCAGGCCAATCCAACAGCACAAGAAGCCTTTGCAACTTGCCTTGGATTTTGTTTGAGTTCAGTGCATTTAAAAGTCACCCCAACAATCCCTGGTAATATCCATCATCCCTCCCAAGAAATGCAGCATTTGAACATTCTTTTCAAAGGGTATATTTCCATGTTTCAAAATTCACTTTGGGTTGTATGTACATTCCTAAAGAGGAACAGAGATGACTTCCCACTATTTTTAACCTCTCAATAAATACCCACTCCATAACAAATGGCCATAACTTCTTCTCAAATACCACGGCTTAAGGAAAGCCGACCCTTCCAACATTTGATATTTAAGATCATTATAACACTTCATGGCCTATCTTTATGTTCTGAAAAGAACCCTAAGATTTGTTTAAAACTGTGAGAGAAGCATCAATTTAATCTTGCATGATGGACATTTACTCTAACATTTTGTATTCTGTCTTACCATTCAACCACCACTTGGCCACCACTTGGGCTTGTTTAGTGAACAATCCCATTTTTGCTATAAAAATATTCCCAGAAAAATAGACCATAAATACAAAAGTATGTTTTGCATTTTGTTTCACTTTCTTCCATTTAACTTCTGCTGAACCACTCTCAGGACAAAATATGAAAAGTACAAAAACATTTATAGCCACTGAATTTTTACTTTAAACTTAAGAGCTGTTACACAGGCGTACATTTTAATCCCTTGTCGAACATCCAATTCATGTGTTAATATAGGATGGAAAGACATAAAAAGTTATTTTCCTAAAATGGGTATGTGTGTGTCTTTCTAAATTTTGGTACCTTTAAAAAAGCCACAGAAAGCCATTTGACATGCTGAGGTCATTGAAAGAAGAAATGGCTATATTTGTTATTCCTCTTTTATTCATACTGTTCTCATCAATTCTTATTCTGTTTTGCTTATTTAAAAATGGGTATTTTGCTGTCAAATTTTAGCCATGTGGTTGCAAGGTGCTGGCAGGGCACAGATGGCGTGTTTGGAGGACAGTGTACATTTTTGTTCTAAAATATATTTTGGTCAATGTACAAATTAAACAAGAATGATTTTTAAACAATATGTTCAATCCCAGTTCCAGAGGAAAAGTTTATTTATTTATTGGATTTTTATCCCATCTTTATTATTGTATGAGTAACTCAAAGCAGTGGACGTACATAATGTCCATAACATATTCCCTCCTTCTATTTTGCCCACTCTAAGCGGGTTGGGCTAGGAGACTGAATAGCCCAAGATCATCCCGCTGCCTTTCATGTCTAAGATGCACTTTAGAAAGACATACACATACCCATTTTAGGAAAATAATTTTTTATGTCTTTCCATCCTATATTAACACATGAATTGGATGATAGAATTCTATCATCCTGGTTTCTTAACCACCATACCAAACTAGCTCTCCAAATACACTTGAATTGGAAATCCTTCTACAGCCAGGTATATCTTTGATAGGATATCTTTCTCCATGGATACTATCTAGGTTGCTTATTAGTTTTCTGAAACCCAACAGAAAGAATAAGAGCTAGCCAAAAAAGCATAGAATAAATACAGTCACATGGTATCTGAATACAAAGACTGATACTTACTCCATGGCCATTGCACTTTTTTCCACAATGTCCACTATCAAAGAAAGAGGTATTCTGACAGTGGCCCTCAAAGCACACCTGGAGGAGAAACCGAACATTCAGAATTATACTAGAACAGTAGTTTTAAAAATGTGGTTCTAAGTCCCCAAAGGCCCTCTCAGAGGTCCATGAAATCAAAATTATTTGCCAACTTATGTTTAAAAACCCTGCAGTATTAAAATCCTAGATAACGTGTCTATTTTAATTTTTAATATAGTAAAAAATGTTTAAGAAATACTGTACCACAGGAATAATGCTATTAAATGATTTGGGTACAAGGCAGGCTTGGGATGTAAAATCACTTCATCAACTCTGAGAAGCCAACTCTTGCAATTACCCCATCCTGAGGTAATTACTTCATTGCTCTCAGCATCTGCTTAAGCCCAGAAGTTGATATATGGGAAGAAGAAGCAATTATTTATGGAGGATGAAGGATTACTAAACTAAGTCCCCCAAATTCCATAAATCTGTACTGCTGCATGCAACATGTTGTATAGAATGTGAAGCCTGCTCCAAGGGAGGGAAGCTACACCCAGTGTGTCCTTCTTATTCCAAGTTTTTGATTCTGTGGATTCCCTTTGGGTTTTTCTATTTTTTCCCCCCCAAAGTTGAATTAAACTTCTAAAACAAATTGTTGCATGCAATTAATTCTGGGAAAAAGCAATCATGTATTTTAAAAGGGAAATAAGCTACAATAGGCAGCCAGTGCTTACATGACTATCGCCACATTTGGTTCCCGTCATCACAAGGCCTGGGTCTAATATATCTCCTTCATCTTCTTCATTTCGATAGACATGGGTACCACGACAATGAACTTCTCTTCCATTTAATTTGATAGTTGTATCAATTGCAACAGCATTGGACTCCAGAGGCTTCGAAGCAGAACTTTGGCACTGTATCTTGCCACATTTAGCACTTCTGGAAAGAAAAATTCTGTGAGTCTGAGTATTCTGGCTAAGATCTTAGCATCACAAACACCCAACACAAAGGCATTATTCACTTCCAATAAAATGAAGAGTCTTGAGGGACCTGGTGAGTCACATTCCATGTTATGTGCTGAAAAATGTATTTCTTAAATGCTGAATATCCTATTTCATGTTTACTGACCTCAAAATTACCCTACCAATAAAAGGGTAAGTAAAAACCCAGTATCATATACAGCTTTATGTACATGTATTCAAACATTTACAGTGATTTTTTTTCATCACTTTCTGAGATCAATTTTACTTCTGCTTTTCATTAATAAAGCCTTTGTTTGCCTTATGTATCTAAGGATTATGGAATTGCAAGAAAATGAGCCTGCTTATAGTTGTAAGACAAAATAGGGCTTGAAGAGCATTTTGCTATCCCACCTTGGAACATGGTATTTCTTTCTTTTCAGTATCAAGTGTGGAGAGTCCTAATCCATATTGGGACCAAAGTATTGGTGGGTTTTCTTTTCTTTTTTTAAAAAGGGGATACTTATGAAAACAGTCTGGAATTGTTGAAAAGCTGTACGTTTCAAAAGATTTTTCAGAGAAATCTGGTGGAAGAAATAAGGAGCTCCTATCTGGATTGGGAAAAGTAGTTCAGGTGATACATTCACACAACCCACGAGTCCTTTCTCTGCTGTTTAATTGACATAATGTTTATGCAATAAGGAACTGCAGGAAAACGTTCACAGTTATGAGGTCATGAAAAACAATTCCACTCTTTCCACAACCAACAAAAACAGGGCATGAACTTGTTCTGAAATATTTGAATATAAGCAAAGCAAAAGTGACAATTTTGTCCAACAAAAATGGCCAATTAATGTGCCGCTATATGCAACATAGGTTGGATTCATTTTTTCTCATCTTTTAACTTGTGAGGATACGGAGTTATCTCATCTCACATGAAAACAGTTGGCCTTGTGTCTTTCTACCTTGTGTCGCACTTCCTGTAGTTCCCACTGATATCCTTCCCACAGTTCCCATAGGAATCTCCGGCAGCGTTAACTTTCTCAAAGCAAAGGTCAGGGGCTGGCCTTGCTCCTGTATGGAAAAGATTCACAAAGTATAGCATTGGGTGTGGACCCATCAGTAAGGACAAAATAAGTGCTTTACTAGAACAGGCAAAACTGTCCTAGCCCAGTCTGTAAAATATATTTCATCTGATCCTCACGGGGTTTACTAGACATGACTACAGGTGGTCCTAGACTTACAACAGTTCGTTTAGTGACTATTCGAACTTACAACGTCATTGAAAAAAGTGACTATGACCGTTTGTCACATTTATGAATGTTGTAGCATCCCATGGTCATGTGATCAGAATTCAGATGCTTGGCAGCTGACTCATACTTATGACAGTTGCAGTGTCCTAGAGTCATGTGATCACTTTCTGTAAGTTTCTGACAAGCAAAGTCAATGGGGAAGCCAGATTATCTTAAGAACAGTGTTACTAACTTAACAACTGCAGTGATATATTTAACAATTGTAGCAAGAAAGGTCATTAAATGAGGCAAAACTCAATTATGGTTGTAAGTTGAATACTACTTGTATTCATATACAAATAATCAATGATATCTAACATATCTCTCTCTCTCTATCTACCTATCTATCTTGACCTCCCCATCACAAGACCTACTGATGCCATGAAGCCCTTATAAGCAGAAAAACAGTGACATCACCTAAATTGCGTTGAAGATGTTACCTAGCCTGATAATGAAACATTCGGAAACCAACCCATAAGCTCAGAGAACGAACTTCCACCTTCATATATTTGTATCTATGATTATTTGTAATAAAAGTTTCAGGAAATATCATGCTGCATTTTTAAAAGGCTTTTAATCCTTGAGATGAAAATTTGAAGCAATTTTCAAACTTAAAAATAAAGTCTAAAAAAAAAATCACCCAGACTTGACTTGGCTAGGACACACAATGGCGTTTCATCATGCAAGAAAATCTGCTGCCCTTGAAGATCACCCACAAACTTTAACTGGTGTAGAATGCCTAGTAAAGAGGACCCTTAGGATTGCCCATGTAATGTGTGAATCCAGCCACTGTACTTTAAGAATCATGTTAGGATTAGGGTAGAGTGATTGTTCCCCAACAAACCATGATTCAGCAAAGCAAGACCTAGAATTATGCATAAAAATAGCTGCCTGGCCTTTACTGATCACAATAGCCTCTGCGCATTTTCCCTTTCTCTGTTCTTCTTCCTTGATGTAATTATAGTTCCATAAACTAAAAATAAAAACCATCTTCTCCTTCCTTTTCCTTACACCTGTGAATGCAAGGGGCCTCTGTCTTTCATAGAGATTGGTCCTCCTTACCATATCCCCAAAGCTGCAAACATTGCTGCTCGTATGTCAGACACATTCCATTGTAGCAATATGCCCTGCCATCCTCGCACGGGGTACCATCCATCTGATAGAAGTTTGCAGGGCAAAATGGTGATTTGCCCGAACAGTATTCTGGTAGGTCGCATGTTCTCTCCTGTTCCCGGCAAAGAGTTCCAGGTGAAACCAACTACAGGAAGGTAAAATAATTAGACATTTATTTCAGGATGGTGTGGAATACTTGGCATTTCAGTTAAGCTGGCTAAGGGTTGATCTATATATCATAGTTTTATTCTGAAGACAAGCTGAACTAACTTTCGGTTCCCTTCATTCTGTATAGCAAATATAATTTCAATTCAATCTAATTCCTGAAGCATCACTAAAGGCAGGGCTGTCAAACTCCTAACCCGTGGGCCGGATATGTCACGCGCTGCCACCCCCCACCCCACCCGGTTTAGCGAAGGGGGAAAAAAGTCCCAATATATCATGCTGCCATGACGACGCAAGTTTGACACCCCTGACTAAAGGGAAGAAACGTCTCACTATTGCCCCCAAATTACATTTTTGTTGTCTCAAGTCTAAAAAAAGTATCTCTTTTTTCAAATATCCGAGGAATTTTTTCAAACAAAAGCAATCTTGAACCATATCCTAATCTCAGTAATGCTTTATTACTGATCACTTATATTGTACTTTACCCCATAGGAGACTCCGTACTAGAGGGAGAGATGGGATGGAAAATATTCCATGTTCAATTCCCAGCATTTTCTGTTTTTTTTTTTAAAAAAACCAATGTCACATTTATTACCTGGCAGATAATCTGAAAACTTTTAGCAAGTGGCTTAACGGACAGAGCAAGTAGAAGTTGATTTCTGCCATATGTAGAACATCTGGTATATATTATATACATTTTAAATGATCATTTTAACTGGCAATATTCTGCTAGCACTAGGCTACCCTATTTATTTTCAGGCAGACCATGTTTCTAAAGCTGATTCTGGAGCTTCCTTTGCTTAACAAATGCACGAAAGGGAACGGAACTACGGTTTGCATGCAACACTTAAGAATCACTGATACTTTTCACCATAATGGGAGATGTGGTGGCTGCTTGAATTTGCATGGAAGGTACTGTGATGGTATCCAGACAGCTGTATTCAGCTGTCACCATGTAAAGGACTTAGCTTCTGAAAGCCACCGCAAACAATCCAAAATATCAGATGGTAGCAGTGTGCAAAAATCTAAATGTTGCATATTGAGTGGCTTTGCCTAACCAGTTGGCCACAAATGTAGGGCCAACTTGAGCAGCAATTTTAAGCCAACCCAAGGAATGCATTTATGAAAGCAGGGCCTCCAGGAGACGTATGGGAAAAATCCAGCATACCAAGACTATTTTAAGTACATTTTCCTAAGAAAGCTATAATGTAAAGCGATACACAGGAATCTTTTGTCTGTATATTTATCTACTCCACCCTACCAAGAAATGAAACTCAACTCCCCAGAGAAATTCAGATGTAAAATATAACAAACAGAAAACTATCAGTAAGAAGCAGGGTCAGAGGAAACCTTAAATGAAGATTTTGTCTTGCCAGACACCACATATAAAAAAGACTGGTAACGCAAGCAAGTAGAAGGCTTAACTTCAGGCCCAGCTGGGTCAATAACCTCCTTTAAAAGACAAGCTTCACATTTGTAGTTCTAATCTCAGGGTGGGACTAATTTTAGCCAAAACAGCTGCCTTGGGTGGCTTCCCAAAGATATAAAAAGTGAGAAAATCAGAACCAGGTTATCTCTATCTGTCCTATGCAATCCGGCAGGAGTGACATGCTGTGGGTACTGTCAGCCAAGGAATGTCAGTTGGTGGGGCCCTGAAGAAGAATGGCGGCAGCCTCTGGAACATGATCCCTCCAGAGATTAGGTTGGCCCAATCCTGCTGGCCTTCCATAGGGCCTTGAACACCTGGTTCTGTGCTCAAGCTTAGGGTTCTGGGTTTATGACAGCACCTGTTTCCTGACTATAATAAGGGCTTTTTATGATTCTTAACTGCTATGTGTTTTATTATGCATTTTATTTTGTATTTGTGTTCATATATTGTCCTTAATGTTGTGAGCCACCGAGAGTTCTATACTTGAGATGGGCAATCATATAAATTGAATAAAATGAATAAATACACTTCTGTCTTGCTTAGGCTTCTCTGCTTTGTCTGATGTCTTCAAGTCAGTCTTGATGCCTGGTATCAAATTCAGAAAGTTGGCATGCTATTAATTTGTTTTGGTAGCATTTTTCAAAAGTTATTCATCCTTACCTTCTTCTTAGAACTGAGAGGGAATAACTGACTCTCTCTCTGTGATACCCAGGTAGCTTTCATGTCTAGAACAGGACTACAATTCATAATCTCCTCATTTTTAGACCCTGTCCTTAATCACTAAATCAAACTCTATAAACTTTTGAACAATGCCATAAAACCTCCTGGTAACAAGTAAAACTGGCCATATAATAGCAAAATCCAAGGCCCTTGGACAGTTGCACAGTTAAACAAACACCTGTTTTAAAAAACTGAGTTTCCTGAGAATAAATGCAGAAAGAGTGTATGCATATTTGTAAGTAAAATTATTTCCTGATTATAACTTCTGCATTTCTGTATACTTAAACCCAAACATTTTAACACATGTCCTTAAGTTATGACAATGATGTGTGTGTGTGTGTGTGTGTGTGTGTGTGTACATACAGACACATGCAGAGTGTGTCATGTTAAGACACACTGCTTGATAAGTGATTATGATAGGTGGACCGAACACTCTGACCCCCTGAAGCTGGGGTTCTTTAAGGCCTTCCCCCACAGTCTCTACTCCTTTCCCCATCCCCATGGGGATCCTATTTGGTATTGTGCCACCAATCCAGGTCTCTCTGGCACTTAATTACTCCCAAGTAGATGAAACAGTCATATAATCTAACCCTGCTTTTCTTCCTGTTGCAGTGATTTAGAAGAGGACGTGTGTCCTGAGGTTACAATCTTTCCAAATCAGAGTGCTGATTCAAATGAGAATTCAAGCCTTTATTATGTATATTAAAATTAAGAAACTAAACAGGAATTGAAAGGCACAGGTAAAGGGTAGCTTCTCCCACCTTGCATTTGTGACAGCAAGTTCCATGAGCACATTCAGCGCCCTGCTTCAGAGTGCAATTAGCAGCATTGCAACAAGGATTATGACATTCCTGCAGAAGAAATAACAGAAATGACACGTGCTATAATTACAGAACAGATGTTCTATATCTAAAAACATCGGAGAGCATTTGGCTGTCCTTCTGGGTGGCTTGTAAGATTGTAGCTAGATATGCTTTTACTTTTCATGCCAAGTATAACAATATCCAAGAAGCTTCAAAGTTGCTTCTTAAACATGTCACATCTGGGACTCAAATGTTTCAATTCTCAAATAAATTGAGATCAAAACACCAAAATATCAGGTCTGAGTTTTTCATATGATGAAATCTGCACTTAAGTTTCTCAGACAATAGCATCAGTATTGGCTCGCTACTGTTTTATCTGAATACTTGATTTCTATGCTTTTGGGTTACATTATCAGATTCTAAGCTCTAGAAAGAGGATTGATGTCCCTCTCAAGTAACAAAAATGGGAATGAGGAGGTGTGGGTGGAAGGAAATTACTCTGGAACTGCTCTCCGTGTTCATTAAGTTACAGTAAGCCACGTTGCTAGAATAAACAGAAGCTTTCAAGCCAGAAAAAACATTTGGTGGAGGCAATAATAGAAAAGTTAAGTAGAAGAACACACTTCTCATCATTTCTTAAGGAATACCAAAATACTAATTCTCACTTGACTCTGAAAAATCAATGAAACCAACCAAAAGGAATTACCTCTGCTTCTCCACAATCACATTCTTCTCCTTCTTCCAGATACCCATTTCCACACCTCTGTCCTCCATATATGGTCCTTGTATCTGGCATATTGTAAAGACACATCCCACCGCCAGATTGCAGATACCGTTCCAACTCTTTCCTATTGCATTCATTGAAGACTCTGGGGAAGGGGGCTCTGTAAAACACCCAAGGAGCAATCTTGAACTGAGTGTTATTATTCAAGCGTTAGTACGAAAAATTCCAGAGTTGGGCTTTATTATTTTTTTAAAAAAAAACCAATAAAATACACACAAACATAAAGAGGAAAACGAAAAAGGGAGAGATAGAAGGGAAAAGTTAAAAAGTGACAAAAATACATAAAATAACACATATAAAAATGATGTTTGACTTTTTTCAATACAGAGACAATTATATAATACAACAACCTCTAACTTTAAGTAAATCTTTAAAGTATTAACAACCAATATTAAAAAAATAATATATTCTTAGTTTAAATTTAATCTAACACACAGAAACATATTATTAACTGTAAATAAATCATAGCCATATACAGGTAGTCCTCAACTTACAACAATTCATTTAGTGACTGTTCAATAGCACAGAAAAAAGTGACTTATGACAACCATTGCAGCATCCCAAATGTCATACGATCAAAATTTGGACACTTGGCAACTGGCCTATGTTCACATGAAAACCATGTTATTAACTGCAGGGATTAATTTAACAACAGTGTCAAGAAAGATCATAAAATAGGGACACTTAACAACTGTTCTTCTTAGCAACAGAAATTTTGGGCTCAGTTGTGGTCTTAAATCGAGGACTAGCTTTATTTGATAATCCACAATATTTCTGTAGTCAAATTAAATCTAATCCTCAAATCTCAAAGTCAAAACTTCATTTTTCTGTTGATGCTGCAGAAAATCTAACAATAGTCCCCAGGCTGCAAACTCTACTTGTTCCTTTAATAAATATTATTGTAACCTTGGTGACACACTTGACTTAGTTTACTAAAAGTAGGACCATTACTTGAGGGGAAAGAAGGAAAGAGGAAAATTGGTCCACTTTGCTGGAAGGCTGATGTTGGCTGAATGACAATTATCTGATTCTGATTATCTAGAACAAAGGCTATAACTTCAAATGACTAATTCTAACTTGCCAGCTGCTGTGATTGTTTTCCTAGTTGGAAAGAATTGCCTTCGGAAGAATAACTAAAATATTTGGTTCCTGAAGAACCAGAGATACTTGGACCAAGTGCCTATAAAGGTGAAAACAAGCAGTGCATACCTCTTTGGGTCAAAGAAGAAATTTAATTTTGAGTTGATGCCCTCTAAATGTTTACAGTGTTTTGCTCAATTCTTTATATACAGAACAGCTGAAAAAATTAATATTAATGCTGACTTTTAGTAGTAAATTCTATGGAGACAATGAAAAACGGGTACTGTGATGTCCTGTACAATGTGAAATTACTATATAATATTGCATTATAATATTATTTAAATACAATACTAAACACTTGTGATGTTACAATATAAGCCCTGACTTTTGAACATGTGTACATAAGGGACCTTTCTTGCCTTATGACACTGCTGTCCATCTTGCCTATGGGTGTCCTGAATGGGTTAAATACTCTATGTATCAGTCATAGCTAAAAAAGCAATTCAGATAAAGCCCCTTTCCTTCTGAAGGCCTTAATTTAAGTGAAAAATTTCATTTCAGAGCCATAGTGGTGCAGTAGTTAGAATGCAGTACTGCAGGGTACTTCTACTGCCTACTGGCTGCCTGCAAATTGGCAGTTCGGATCTCACCAGGCTCAAGGTTGACTCAGACTCCCATCCTTGTGAGGTGGGTAAAATGAGGACCCAGATTGTTGGGGGCAATATGCTGACTTAGTAAACCGCTTAGAGAGGGCTGTGAAGCACTATAAAGCAGTATATAAGTCTAAGTGCTATTGATATTACTGCAACTTTTTTGTACATGCACATAAACAACTTACCCTGTTGCAGCAGCCATAATACATCCTCCATCTCTGGGACTGGTAGAGCAGCAGCCAACTGAATCATGACTCATGCCAAAGTTGTGGCCTATCTCATGGGCCATAGTGGCAGCAACTCCAATGGCATTTTCAGAGTGATCCTGTCCAAGTACCAAAATAAGATGACTTAATATTACAATTCTACGGTATATTTCCTCCTCCTGGCTCATTTAGCCAAGGAGAGTGCATTAAGATCATAGCCCAATCTTCTCCTTTTTTACTATGTTCAATGAAACCCATCTATTTTAATTTATTTATTAAATGTATAAGGCTGCCCATCTGAAATAAACAACTTCGGGTATTTAAACATCAATGCACAAGAAAAAAACAATATAATATCCTTGTAAACAAATGAAAAATACAATTTAAAAAAATGATACATGACTACATGTACATAAGAATGAAACTATGAGTAAAAATTATGGAAAGCACAGAAATTTGCAGTAGGTTTATACATCATTTGGTGATGAAAGTCACGGAGCACAATAAAAAATGAGTGCAAGATTGTAAAAATATAATCTAATTATTGTATAAAGAACAATAAATTAATGACAATAGGCACAGCAAGCAGACTTAGAAATGACAATGAAGATATTGAAGTGGTGGATAGATTCTGCCTTTTAGGAGAAACTGTCAACAGTTAAAGAACCATCAGTCAAGAAATATGCTACAGAGTGGCACTTGGTAAAATGACCATGAAGGCTTTGGAGAGATATTCAGATGCCATGATGTGTTTCTATCAATAAAAATCAAATTCATACAGGCATTGATTTTTCCTGCGACACTCAATGAAGGTGAAATTTGGATTCTGAAGAAGCAACGTACAAAAAGTATCGACAATTGCGAACTTTGGTGTTGGAGAAAACTCTGAGAACACGGTGGATGGCCAAAAACCCAAACCATTGGGTCATCAAACCAATCAATTCAGAGTCCTCACTTGGTCATAAGGATAATGTTTAAATAACAATCATAGACCTTGACTTACAACCACAACTGAGCCCCAAATTTCCATTGCTAAGAGAGGCAGTTGTTAAATGAGATGTGCCCCATTTTATGACCCTTTTTGTCATGGTTGTTAAGCAAATCTGGCTTCCCCTATTGACTCTGCTTGTCAGAAGCTCTGTAAGAAGATTGCAAATGACAATCCCAGGAGCCCTAGACACTGAAACCATTGTAAATACATGGCCATGCACTCAACGTTTGTTTACATGATTGTGGGGATTGATATAATGACTGTAAGTGTGAGAAGTGGTCATAAGTCACTTTTTTCTGTGCTGTTGAATGGTCATTAAATTAATGGTTGTAAGTCGAGAACTACCTGTATAAGGGAATGTAACTTTTTAAGAAATACATGCTTACAAAAACATTTAAGGGCCTCTTGCTGGATCGTACTCATAGTTCATTCTATCAAATAATTGGCTTGTTATAGTGACCAACCCACATGAGAGAAGTACTGTTTGTCCTGCCAAGAATTAATATTCAGATGTATACGTCTTGTGAACATCAAGAGTTATCAGCTGAAAGATTCAAATTCCACTAATTTATTTAAGCCTGTTTTAAAGCCATTTAAAATAGTGGTCATAATTTGTTTTGAGGTAGTTTAGTATCATATTCCTTATGTTAACTGTAAAGAAGTACTATCTTTTTTTAGTGTTCCAAAGCTACTCCTAGCAAGTTTTATTGGGTGACCATGTGTTATTTGACTGAAGTTGCAGCCTGTACAAAGCAATTTGGGCAGAAAATATTAGAAGGATGCAGAGTTCCCCTCTGCTTATTTTGATCCTCTTTGTGGCAAACTTACCAGCAAAACAATAATTGTCTCCCCCAATACCTTTTGGAAAACCTGTAATTTTCTCTCCCCTCCCCATGATTAAACAATCCAGGTTTTCAAAGTAAGCTATAGCGCTAATGTCCATTAAAGGAACTGGACACTGAAATTCCACTCTTCTGATGAAAAAAAAAAAAACAGCCTTTAAGAAAAACTAGGAGAAACCTATTACACAAAATATATTAATTTTTTGGGTTTGTTCCTATTTATTTCAAACTGTTTTGAATGAGGCAAGTATTGTATTTTTCACACTATAAGATGCACTTTCCCCCCACTTTCTGTATGTCTTATAAAGCAAATATTGCGGGTTTTTTTTGATGCATTGCCATTGCCAGGGAACACTGGCGCCTTTGCTGCCAAGCAGCTGATTGGTGGTTGGATCGGCCTCCCGAAATGCTGCTGATCAGTTGTTCTAGGCGGTGGCGATTGCCACCTCAACCTATCACCGCCACCCATCACCACTGTCTGTTTGCAGCTGATGGATGCACCGCGGCAGCGATAGACAGTGGCAATCCCCGCTACCTAGAACAGCTGATCGGCAATCCAACTGCCAATCAGCTGCTTGGCAGCAAAGGCTCCAGCATTCCCCAGCAGCAGCAGCTCAGGCCAGCTGATTGGTGGTGGGCGCAATGGAGCAGAGCCTTGATGAGCCACGTGCTGGGGCTGTGATAACATGCTGAAGCTGACCAGGCTGTTCGCTGCAAGGATGCTAGCTAGATGAATACTGGATGGATGCTGGGAGGCAGATTTTCTTTTCTTGTTTTCCTCCTATTAAGCTAATTGTCTTATAGTCTGGACTGGAGCGTCTTATAGTGCAAAAAAATTGTGTTTATTTATCAAGTGTAACTTACCATATTTACTCCTCCAGACTGATAAGCGGAACACATGGCCATCAGAGGGGCCAAGCCAATAGTAGTACCATGGAAGGACATCCCACTGTACCATGTTACAAGAAAAGAACCAAATTGTGAATATAATTTGTCCATCTATGCATGCAGTTACATTTTGAAAGGAGACCATTTTATGTAGCCTAAGATGACCGCTTGCACTACACTCTCCTGAGACAACAGCAAGGAACTGGCTCAGAACTAACTTTGCATACCGTCCAAAGTACAATAGATGATTTCACAGGGAGGAACTGAAGAAGAGAGACTCATGAGGAAACCTCACCCTTCTGCCATTTAAATCAATAGAAAATACTGATCTAGCCTAGCAGGCCAGATTTGGTCCATGGTTATTGCTGTAAATGTTCAAAAATCAACAACTTACGTAATCAACTGGGCATTGTCATGCTTTTTATGTATTAGTAATTTGCGGCGCCAAGCAAGAAATGACCAAAGAGTTGAATGTGGGTTCTCAGAGATGTCACACTTATTGTAGTCATTCCAGACTTCAAGTCCAACTAGAGCAATCCGTATATTTAACGACCTGTAGAACTAAAAGTTGAGGAGAGAGAAAAGTAGAAGAGTTTTAGTTAATCAAGAGGCTTTGTCTCTATGAAACAGTTCTACGATGAGCTACTTTTCTAAGGTTTTGTGACAGATTCTTTCTTATTATTTCTCCCTGAGAAATAAATATCCGTATAGACCAGGGGTGTCAAACTGGCGGCCCACAAGCCAGATGTGTCACGCATAGGGCACACCCACCCCAGCTCTGCGAATGGGAAAAATGTTGTGAAACATATGCTGGCAACATGACACAGCAAGTTTGATACCCATGGTATACTATAGACAATATGATGATGTTTCAAAGAACTCCTGCTGAATTGAATTCTTCGTGGTTTTCAGGTTTCTGGGATTGATCTCCAAACAGAAAAGGTATTGTGAAGGACAGAAGCAACCTATACTACTTCTCTGCTCCAAAATTACCCACCCACCATCAGTGGTATTCATTCAACACTGTTAATCACATTTTCAATATCATAGGGGAAAAGTGAAATGGAAAAATTCATATTACTAAGGTCTATATTAGTGAAGATATCTTATACTACTGAATCAATTCAAAAGGGATTTTAAAAATATCAACCAAATTGGTATATCTTAAAGTGAGATAAATGACTTCTTTTGTTTAGGCATTGGACTCCTCACATAATGTCTACAAAGAGTTGGTTACTAACTGCATTATGGCAGAAGTGTCATACAGATGAGAGAACACTTACTCCTATGGGTTTTTTAAATTCTTCTGTTTAATTGTGTCCAACACTTGGAGAATGCCTAGACAAGTCTCTGAGGTTTTCTTGAGAATGTTTTTCAGGAATAGTTTACCATTGCTTTCTTCCATGGGCTGTAACAGTGACTGGCCCAAAGTCGCCCAGCTGCTTTTGCGCCCCAAGTTGGGACTAGAATTCAGTCTCCTGGTTTCTAGCTTGATGCCTTAACTACTCCACCAAACTTGCTCTCAGCTCATATGATATTATGATAAGATTCTATTAATGTTTCCTTTTTGCTTACTATACACAAAATCATCAATAAAGATCCCTGTTGTTTAAAGATGTGAAGACACCCTCAAACTGTATACCAACATTTTGGAATCTACAGTTATATCCATAATTATTCATGATTGCAGATTCCAGGATTTTGATATATGATCATGGATGAGGGGCAGAAACAAAAATCATTATTTCAGAGTTATTCTGGATTTACCATCTAGTTAGGATTACAGGTACGTAATCATTTTCTTTTTATAAAGCAACATTCCATTGATAGCATAGAAAGACTGATTATATATTATCTTAAAATTTGGCTGCATGAAAAATACATGAACTTTCTGTGTAATGAAATTTTTTCCTTCCTATAGTTACATGTTCCTTTTTTTCCTTTTTCTTTTTTCCTCTTTAATTTACCTTTTCACATAAAAATATATACTTTTAGAAGATAAATATTAATTGTTCTGTAGCTGTATTTTTTTAGTAATAGAATAATTAAATTAAAAGGCAACTTTCCCACCTTATCTTTATTCCAAGTTTCTCTCTTCTATCCATTAGTTTCTGTTTTTCTTTTTTAGAAAATGTGGGAAATTACACAGAATAGGCAGTTAGGAAATCAGCTTTTCCTGATTTGTTATTTTAAAAGATAACAGGTTTTCCTGTAAAACATGTATCTGGTCTTACTTTATCTACATAATTGGCAGCTTCCACTAATTTATTCTTGGTTGCTTGAAGATCATGTTTATTTTTCTGAAACTGAAATAGAAAAAGAAATTCAGCCATTATCAATGCTGCTGAACTGCAAAATAATCAGTCAAGACTATGTCACAATATACATTTTCATAAATACAATGAATAAAGTGCCATACAACCATTTCCAGCTGTAGATAATACACTCCCGTACAGCTCTTGTTACTGCCTAGTTGCCAGGATTTGAAATCCAAGTCTCAAGTTTATCTCATGGATGTTATAAGTCAATGTTTGAGTTAAGAACATTATGACTAATGAAGTTTCTTTTCCCTAGCTTCTTCTAGCACAGGGGTGTCAAACTCAAAGCCCGTGGGCCATATCCAGCCCACAGGGTGCTTAAATCTGGCCTACAGGGCAAACCTAGAAATAGCAAAGGACTGGCCCGCGGGGCCTCTGGCAGCCAAAATGAGTAAGACAAGATGGCTTATTCACTCTATGATAATTGAATAAAAAAAAATATTGGGTATATTATTATGCACCTTATACTTGGCAAATTCAGAGTCACATAATTAAAGACACAGGTCTATGTTGTATAGATATGTGCTGTGATTAGAAATATAGCTGTCACCATGGCTGGAAATATATATTTCTTTATATCAAGCGTAAATTAAAAATAGGAAAAATGGTCAAGCAAATAGCCAGTGAGACAATCAAATTACTGCAGAGATATGATGTCAGCAGAAGTCCCGTCTTTGAAAAGAACCAAGCAGGAGGAAAAGGAATTAAAATTAAAAATTCATGAATGAGCTAATGTCCTATTGGGAATTATACTAGTTAGTTCCAGTAATTGATTAGAAACAGACTCCAGACATATTCACACAGAATGTTTTTACATCTCTATTGGGCTTGTCCAGTCATCTAAGACACAGCTAGGAATAGTGGTCACACTATTTGGTGTTCTTGAAGGAGTGGTGCCTTTGTGATCTGGGATTAATAAGCCTTTCTTTGGTCCCTTTGTCATTGTCAGATCACAGTTTTTTAGCTATGATCTTCTCCTGAGCCATACCTCTTCACAGGGGAGTGGGGAAACCTGTTAGATTGGTCTGCCTCAATGACTGATTTACCCTAATGGGTTTCAGAGGAGGTTATGAGATCAGCTGCACAGTCCTGCCAAGTCCCTAGTCGCCATCTGGAATTGGAAGGTAAGTGAGGTTTAGAAGAGATTGTGCCCAAGTGATGTCTCCTGACTTGGGGGATCTTGGTGTTCTTTATGGTATATGAAAGAATGAAGAGAGATTAAACTGATTAAGAGATGTCTAGACCACTGGTGGTGGAAGATGAAGAACGAACTCAACAATTAAACACAGGTAAGAGCTGCTGTTAAAGAAACACTCGCCACTACTTAAATCCATCTACCTCCACCACTACCACTGGTTACCTAAAGCAATCAAAAAGTTTGGTCCAATGTGTAGTTGGCAGAGTTCATTGGCAGAGAACCCTGCTACTACTGCACAGTCTACAAGCTCCAAGGAATCCCAGATTACATTATAAGTTTTCATCTCGGTTAACTCAATGAATTGGTGTCACCTGACTCTGAGGCATTTTGTCTGCAAGTGTTTTGCACATCAGCCACAGTGGCCTTCTAGGAAATCTTCTCCTATGCCCAGATTGAACAGAACTCGGGTCATCTTCAACAATGCCATGGATAAAATTTCGCAGACGCAATAAATCTGTTGCACCATTCTTATTGCCATGAACCTGATTGTATTTTTCCTTGTTTTGTGCCATCAGCATTCTCAGTGTTTTTTCAGCTGTTTCATCCCCAGATCTCCTCAGTACGCTAAGGATCAACAATTAAATGGAGGCTATTCTGAAACAATCATATCCTTGTAGTTGTTGTTCTAGAGACTGACTGGGCACATGGCAGAACTGCCTCTTAACCTTCGGCAGGACAGTGTACAATCAAAATTATTTCTCACAAAACTGATTCTAGGATGTCCCCATAGCCACTTTTAAGGTAACATAACTGGCACTTTGGATTATTCATTTGTCCATGTTATGCGTAGTTAGTATCTTATCTGCCCTGAGTCCACCACTGAGTTCAGACATAATAGGTGACTTTCTTACTTCTGCATAATCAGCTACTAATAGAAGCTCCACATATTTCACTGATTGTTGATCATCCCTCTTCACCTATGGTAGAAAAACACACACACACAAATACATGTTTGGGGTTTATTTTGGTCAAACAATGAATCTTTGTACTTCATTTTAAGAGAAATAATGACCAGTCTGAGCAACTGTTCCTCATAAGTATCAATGGTGTATCTTATGCAAAATACATTTAAACTATACATTGCAACTGTTTTTATATAGATGATTCACCACGTCTACCCTTCATTTAAGTCCTATTCTCAGTCATCTGCCACACATACACAGATATATAATTGCAAATTACTTGCATTCTTATTTTCTTATCAAGACATTATGCTTTTGCCCAAAATACTCACTGAACAATTCTCCTATAAATAATAGCTCCTATTACTTTATCACAAGTTTGAAATTATGATTTATTTAGGATCCCAAGTATAAACACTAGAAAATATTTTTAGCTGTCTGAACTGACTGAATTCTACTTTAGAAAAATCCTTGGGTTTGTGTATTTTTTTTCCATTATTTAAAATATGCCTTCTTAAATAAATAAATTTATTTATTTAAGAATATACATTCTTAAATAAATAAACAATGCCAGAGTGATTACCTCATCCACCACAGACATTATTAGAGTTTTCAGGAAGAAAATGGCAATTTATGAAGCAATGAAAATATTTAAGGACATCAGAAGTGAATTGGTTCTTCTCTGCTCAATTGTTTGCCAACAAAGAAATGAAACGGTTGGGTTAGGGGGGTGTCAGTGGCTGCTCCCAAGTGGGGGAAAGTATGTGATAGTTGCAAAAGTGCATGAAAGTGATTTCAGGCGTGCTACCAGATGGAAGACATATGGGTTGTTGCAACAGCAGTGGTTGCATGAATAATTTTGAGTTTGAGGTGACAGATTTACCTGAGTGGTTAGGAGCCTAACCTTCCCTGCCAGCTTCCCCTTTGACTTTGCTGGTGGGAAGCTGGCAGGGAAGGTCATAATTGGTAATCACATGCCTGTGGGGCACTGCAACTGTCCTAATTGTGAGATGGCTGGCAAGCACCCAGTTTGCAGTCATGTGACTGCAGGGACACTGCGACAGCCAGAATTTTGAGAACCATTTTAAGTATCACTTGTTCAGCACCATTGCAACTTCAAATGCTCACTTAACGAGTGGTCAGTAAGCAAGGACTACCTGCTATTCCTCAGCTTCAGCTTTCCGTCTGTCAGCGTTGGAATAATAAACTAGCCTATATTTTCTAACTGCTGGTGATTAAATGATTGTTGGAATAGTGCATGTAGAGTAATTTGAAAGTTTAACAAATTCGCCACCTTATTTTTCTTTACTCCCTCCCACTCTGATGTTGCTACACCCTGTAAGATAGGAGGAGTAACTGAGACATACCCTGTGGTAACGGGGTTCGGTTCGGCCTGTCAACTCTGCAAGCCAATCTGTCACCTTTGACTCTAAATGCTTACTTCCACAGCTTCCGTGAGGAACTTTGAGATGCTCAGACCTGTAGATGAAGTGATGCTCCTGGCTATCAGGAAGAGGTTCTAAGATGTAACTAAGGTTGTTGCTTATAACTATAAGGCCACTGAAAAACAATTCAACAAACCATCAGAAGGCAGTGAAGGCAAATCAGCTAAAGTAAAATAAAGAATTTAGTAACAACAGAATTTAGTAAGATGTAGTTCAGAGTTGATTTTTACAAGAGTGACATTTAATAATATTGAAAAGTTGCTAAAGCCCACTTTATTCTTGATTTTCAAAGCTAACCACGACTTTTAATAAAATCTCAGATTTTAAATTTTGAATCTAACTAAGAAAAGACATGGCTATTTCTAAGACCCAAACAGACCATTCCACTTTCTTAAATGACTATAAGGAGACTAATATTAAATATATTACAATAAAACTAAGTAAACAAAAGCATCTTAAAGTAAAATTAATAATGGAAATAGAGGAGTTTATAATAAAAACAAAAGGCCTTTAAAATATAGCCTAACCAAGCTAACCAGTTTATGTATATTTACTGCTATTGTTACTGGGTTTTTTTTTAAATTGAGTTTTAACTTTATTAGCTATTCAAAGTCACTGCTGTGAGATGGGTAGCCATATAATTTCACTGAAACAAAGGAATAATAAATTAAGTAATAGTGTCTGTTTTTTCAAGTTAAACAGTCTTTTCTGGAAAGAAGGCTTTTTAAGTCTTTGAAAACTATTGCAAACTATTATGGAGATCAGCCTCTGAAAAACCAAATTCTCTCTTTAGTCAGATGTTTTTCTGACTGTAAATATTCTTCTAGTCTTTTAATAATATTGCTTTTAAAAAATATGGAATATTTTTAATTTATAGTTATTCATTCATAGTTATCTACGTTATGCCACATAGAGATGTTTGTAAGGTGAGCAGATATGGAAATGAATGACTAAAATAAGAGTGTGGTCAGTTGCTGATAACACTATTGTTTGGCATGTTTTCATACATGCGGAATGACTTTTAGTTAACATTGCTGTATTCACACGCTACTGGTTTCTTCAGAAAAACTAATATCATTAAGTTTCAGGTAAACTCTTACATATAGAACTGCTTTAATTAAATAATGTTATAATTCAGAACTAAGTACTGAGTTTCAAATTAGTTTTTAATGAACACCAGTTTACAAAGCAAGAAATAATTATCTGTGGTCAGTCTCTTTCCTAGCTGTGCTTTATTGTCCCCACAAGATTAAAAACATATGCAGGAGTTTACTTTCTGTTTTTTGACCAGGAATCCCAAATTATTTTTATATTGCAATAATGTAAATAATGCTGGCCAGTATATGGAACAGCTGTACAATCAATCAAAAAATTAACAACAAACTACAATTTTGGTTGGAAATTTTGAAGCCAGGGCCCAAAACACCGGAAAAGGGAGGGAGGGATAAAAGTGGCACATCTTGCATCTATGATGCTTTCTATTTTGTGCAGGTCTTGTGTATCAGCCATAAAAGGAAGACTTTATTTTGTTTCTGCACCCAGACAATTTGTTTACATTAAGTTTGGCTTGAAACTATTGAGGATTTTTAAAAAATTGGCCAAAGCTATTTCCTAACTGGACAGAAGCCCAGCTTTCAATAGGCTCTGAAGTGACCAAAAGGAAACCAAGTCCTGTTTATAAAAACAATGTGTTTAATTTCTTAAGTGCACTGTAGAATTAGCATATGTTAATCAACAGGAAAGGCTCATTGCTATCCAAGGATTTTACAAAATCCCATTACTAAGTGACAACTTCATACTATATTGTAGTAAGGATCAGATGTTTGCAAGATTGCTACAAATATTAAGACCAAAATAAATATTCAGAAAACTGTTCTGAGATAAACAATATAAGGCTAAAAAAGGCAAGAATGAATGAAAATGGAACGATTCTGACATTTGTTAGAACTGGGGACTATCTGTGGTGTTTTTTGAAGAGACTTGCTTTGTATACAGAAGTTCCAGATTTCATCCCTGATGTCTCCAGGGAAGATTGGAAAAAGAACCCATTTACCCCAAATTCTGCAGACCTGTTATCAGTTAAGATGGCTAATTCTGAGATGGACAGTCAATTATTTTATTCCAAATAAGCCAAACAGGTAGACTGTTGATCCCCAGAAAATGGAATCCCTGAATACAAATTAACATTTGTTTTTATAGCAAGGATAACTAACTTCTAACTTGTGAAGCTATCCTCTAGCTTCTTTTTTTTCATGACCTTTGAAGCCTTTTAAAATTAGTTTGCAGAAAATTAATGCAAAACTCTGAAGAAATATATTTTTAAAAGAAGTAATAAAATAGGTGTAGTGGGATAATTCTTTTTAAAAAGTCAAGTTTCTTAAAACAAATGCATGTATCAATATTCTCCCCCCACACCCCAAGTGTGGTCATCTCAGTGTGGTCATAGTGTTGGTGGTGGTAGTGATGGTGGAGAAGGAGAAGGAAAGGGAGCAGCAGCAGCAGTCCTGCCCATCCCTATCTTGTGGTATTTGGAAGGAACAATACAAATAAAACTTACTGAATCCTTCTGAGACCATCCTCAGAATTATTGGTTTAGCAGCAGAGCTGCATACAGAAGAAAAGCTCTTTTTTGTCCATCACTATTTAGCCATTCATTTATCTAGTTTTTTTTTAAAGTCCTTTGGTCATCACTCTAACATTTAACTGTGAATTATGAGATTGTGCAAATGTTACTTTGTAGACAGAGAATGCATGAAAGACCTGGAAACCTACCGTAGACCTCTGCATGTGCTGAGCACCACACTTGATTCACGGATGGCCCTCACTCTTCCATGGTAAAAGCAATTATCCTGAGAGGGTGAAAGGAAGTGTCATGAGCAAGAAATCTCATCCTGCAGACTCTTTATCTTTCCCCACTCTTTTGGTAGGGATCCAAGTCAGGGTTAATGAAAAATAGGCATGAAAAGGCATAAAAGTAATCCTACCATGCCTTATTTAACCCTCCCGAGATAGGAATTCTTTTCAATCTCTCCCACTACCCATTCCTATCAAAAAAAAAAAAAGCTTATAGCTGAATTGTCCATAATGGCTGGGTTTCCCAGACTGGTCTAAGCCATGACATAATTAGCTTGGTTTTGCCTTAATTTTGTCTTATTAAACCCAACCAATTGTAGTTTTCAATAAATAATACTTAAATCACAAATGGCTTAGCAAAATGTTTGGACAACAACATAAATTATGTTATGGATTAGTATGAGGGTATGCATACAAAATGGATTATATTTTGAATGCATACCCTCATTTGAGAGGTTCTTGGTACTCTCTGAGCTTGGTTGAACAACTAAGTTCAGACAACTAAGTTATTTCAATCCTGAGTTACAAATATTTCCTTTGTACCCTTGAAACCCTCATTTATTTGTAAATTTTGAGACAGTATTTTGTAGGGGGAGGAGAAATAATTTGGAAAACTATTTCTACTTTAAAAGTAAGAGAGAGAGAATTGTATGTATTCATGCATTTATTATTCTATTGAACAAAAATTTTGGAGAGAAGATAGGAACTTTTCTGGCTGAAAAAGTTTTACTGACTTCTGGGGTAGCTAGTATTTACAATTTTATTCTTATAAAAAACCGCAAGCATATTGTGAAATGATAAAGCTGTACTGCATAGAATCCCACTATGAAAGCTAGCAAACAAACAAAAAATCCACAACCCAACAGCCATTACAATTTTGAACAGTCAGCCTCTTTTAGGAAACTACAGTAAAGAGAAGAAGAAAGCTGTTATTATGAACACTTATTTGTAAACCACCTAATTCACTATCTGAAGTGCTGCTAGCCAGTCAACATTTTTTCAGTCAGTTAATTCAGAAGAGAGGTCCGGCTGGACCAGAGCCAGCTGGCATGTTAGTTTAGAAAGGCCTTGAGAGGATAACAAGCTTTCAGATCCCACTTAGCAGAAGGCAGAAGTTGAAAGATCAGTTGCTGGATGATATCCATTTTTAAGTTCATGAACACTTCTAGACTGGATAGCTTAGAAGATACAGACATCACACACAAATTTAGAATCTGGAATTTTCACGTTTGAACACTTTGCTATTGAGGCACAAGAAAAGGTTATAGTCAATCTCTTCAGTTTTATGATATGAGTCCTCTTCTGCAGAAGGGAGCAAGGAATGGGGGAGGTGTCAGACATGGGCAAGAGCACAAACAGATAATACACAAGTAGGAAGTGCAAGAGGAAAGGCAACACATGGCAACCAGAAAGAATGCACATTATAACATGGCTTCATATAAGTTCACATATAAGTTGCACAGCTCTAGTGGTTGGTTCAATGTTGTTGTTTGTTGTTTTGTAGTTCAGTGGCCCGCCGGCATATCACTGCAAGACAGCACTGTACTAAGGACACCAATGAAGTTCATTTCCAATTTTGTATGGAATTTCAAGGACCACACCCAAATTGCAAGCTAATTCTATGTAGTCATGGATCACTGCAGTTGTAACAACACTCTATGGTGCTGTTCATTATTACACTGAACAGTTACACCTAACATTTCAGTAAATTATATGAAACAATATCTGGTAAATGGCTAATGTGGGATATAATAGATTGCAAGAGTTTTGCTTTTTAAAATAAAGTCACAGTTTGGAAAAGGAATAGAACTTATTTCTATTTTTGCTGTTTCAAGTATTCTGTCTCATCTGAATGGAATTTATATATTGTTGGAGTTTCTATGTTATACTATTCCAAAATGACTCTTGGCAGTAAATTTATAAAAAAATACAGTAGCTTATTATATTTAGTCATAGAAAGATAATTTGGTGAAGAAACGAACTGAATAGACTGCTGCAGTTGTGAAAACTGTAGCAGCCACTATCATAAATCCCATAGCAGATCCTTATTCAATCGCTACTTCCATATTAAATCATTATACTTAGCAATGACCAATGAATGTTTCTTTGTTTACCTCTCCAGCTTTGAATCAGAGTATATTTGAAACTGCTCCCTTGATAATTTTTTCTCCAACTTTTTTGTGCCTCCAAATTATTTTTTTCAGGGTGCAGTCAAGACTTGTTCCGTGTAAAGCCTATCCAAGTTGGAACCAGGGTTGTGCTTTCTGATGAATTTGTCTCATGAAATTACATTTAATACTCACTGTTTTGTTCAAGCAGATGGTTTGGGCTGTTCCAGTTTTGGTATAATGAGTTTCAGTGTAGTCTGGTGCAAAGAGATCCCTACCAACAAAAATGAAGAAAAAGAGAAGGATGGGATGTAGGATGTAGGAGAGGAAAAATAATGTTAATATTATTTGAATATTCATGTACATGAAATCTTGCAATTCTCTTTCATCAATAACCAATTCTAACATTTAGAAAAAGTTGTCAAATATACTCATGAAAAAAAATTAGATTAAAGTTGTGACAATGATTAATAAATGTCAACATTATGTGACAAGAAAAAATGGCAAGATGAAGTAAAACCAATTTAGCAGGTGAAAAATAGTCTTAAAACTGTGCTGGACATCTGATTCCCCGTGGCCAATCTGACATTTCAACAATCTGCATAATGCAATATGAGATGGAAAGAAAAATGTCTTTCTCCACTCCTTTCATACCATTCATCACTCTATAAACATATGATTGCTCATGTCATTAAACAGCCTCTGATGATTCTTCACCTCATGAATTCATAGAAAAGATGCGAGAAACTTAATTATTTTGCACACTAAATGTGCTCTAGAACAGGGGTCGCCAACCTTTTGGACCTCAGGGACCACCAAACTCATAATTTTAAATCCCGTGGACCACTAATATGAATTTTGACTGATGGTGGCTTGCTGATGTTGGTGGGAAAGTCGGTCTCATATTCCAGAGCTGCAGTAGTTACAGGACTGGACCCGGAGCAGCTGTTCCTCCATCCAGGTGCACTGGACTGCCATGGCCTGGAGGAGCTGCTCCGGGATGACCAAAGGGCCAGTCCTGTAACTACTGCAGCTCTGGAATATGGGACTGACTGTCCTACCAACATCAGCAAGCCACCCCGGGGTGGATTTCCCTCCCCCGCCATTGGTCTTACCTTCCAGTTCCAGCTCGTGTGGCTCTACTCAAGGTAAGGTTTGTGCTTGGGTAGGGGCCAGCCATGTGGGCGGGCCATGTGGGCTGAGCAGCCTTGTGTTCCCATAGAGCGGGCCATGTGGGCAGTGCAGCCTTGTGTTCCCGCGGGCCATGTGGGCAGTACAGCTGTGTGTTCCCATAGAGCCTGGATTGCTTTGGGGAGAGTGCTTTGGGTGGGGGACATTTCTCTGCGAACCACCAAAATTTTCTCACGGACCACCAGTGGTCCCTGGCCCACCAGTTGGTGACCACTGCTCTAGAAAGACTTTAGGTAAAGGGATGAGTCATGGAAGCTTTTATACTCTCATTGTGAGATTCTTAACACATATAATTTTGCTTTTCCCCTGCTTCTGTTAATAGAGGTCACTTCATCACATTGCATCTTCAGACTATGGATAACCAAAACCACCAGAAACAAAACTGCAAAATAAGCTCAGTTATACATACTATGCTACCAATGGTCAGAACAGCACGCATTTTCAAGAATCAATCAAATTCATTGCCAATTGCATTACCTGTCTGCAAAATGACATTAACATTTAGTAGAATGTTAGAATGGCTGAGTCAAGATTGCTTTGTAGAGCATTGAAGCTAAATGCAGTTAAAATTTATTTTAATTTGTTTTCGTTTTTTGTTTTATTTTTATGTCTGAATCTCACTGATCTGCATTTGTTCAGGGTTGAGAACCTGCTTATCTATTACCCACATAGCTACTTATTCAAGTATATGCAGATTTGCTATGTTCACCATATATACCTATATATTTATATCCATAATTGAATCTTATTTAAGTATCTTTGCTCTCTTCCAACTCCCAGGACTCAAACAAATAAAGATGGCTGAATTGCAACTCAAGAAGTATAATGCTATTAAGGGCACTATATATACAGGACGATTATATTGTTTATATATTCCTTATATTGTCTTTTTATCACTTCATTTCCCTTTATTGTTCTTTAGCCTATGATGCCATACTTTAGACTATAAAAGAAACAGGAAATATTGGGATTATTTACAATGAACAAACCAAAGTACACCATCTGATTTATATCTAGTAACACAAATTTAACATTAACAATAATCAAAACAGATTTTGGGATGGTATCAAGATGACTAAGATTATTCCCAGATGAGAGACAACCACTTTAATATTGTTACCATTTTCCTTTTGCCCAGATATCTAATAAACTAAAATGTAATCCCAGAGAAAGAATTTTTATTCAGTATGCCTGGCTTTCTGCAAATAGAGGATTCACTGAGGGTTCTGTAAATCCTAAAACTAGAATTTAGGATAACCTACATTTTAGACAGTAATACCATCTATACAAGTTGAGTTTAGTCAATATCCCATCCCTGTCAGAAATAGCATGTACATTATATTGGAATGTACCTTTATCAGGGGCATTTATATGAAACTCCAAAGTAAAACATTATGTACAATATTTTGAAATCTGAAAAGGGTTCAGTTTAATGCTTACTTAAATGCCTCTTCTTGTCTTACTACTGACAATGTAACAACTAAAAAAAAGGCCAATCTTTTTTTCTTTCCTAAAGTTACTTTTGAAAAATAATTTAGGAGAACACATTTCCACTTCTATAGTACTATCCTTTTACCAATTATAGAATACATATAATAGATCTAATAAAAGTAGAGGGGGGAAAATAACTCCCCCAAATCCTATAGTAGAAGGATGCTCCACTCAACATTTGGTCCCCTAATGAAATTATCAGAGGACATTATACCACAATATTTCTACATAAAAGTAATTCCAAAATGTTGGGCTATACAACATGGATCTGCTTACTGGATGTTAGAATTCAATAAAAAAAATTAATTGGAGAGAAGCTGCACTGGCACCAGTTGCAATAAGAAAAAAGGTGCGAGGCTCAAATGGTATTTCTGGATTAAGGAGATCCTCCACCTTCCATGTCACCATAGCTACTTTGTCACTGAGCCACTGCCACCCTACTTTCTGCCCATCATCTTTGTATTTCTTCTCAGGTGTCCTGGCTACTTCACTGTCCTTTCTCTCCAGCATCACTTCTAACTACTTGGGGTTATCAGGAAACTCTTACTTTTATGATACAAAGGACTTACTGCTTATTGTTCTATCTCCATCCATGATTATCATTACCTCTGAGGTCATTTGGCTCACAGCCTGTAGACAATCTGAACACATTAAAAAATGAATGGACCTTGAAAAAAAGCATTTTGCTGCACTACATGTTCATTTAATTACTAAACATATACTTTAAAAAGTGTCTGTTTCCTGTCCCATCCCATCAGCTATTACTGACTTTTCATTGATAATTGGAAGCCATCCAGGGTCACTATGAGCTGGATGATAGATACATTTAATAAATAAATGTCCACCAAGATGCAGAATCTGGGATATGCAAACCAATGTTTAATACTAACAAAGCCAGTGTGTGTGTGTGTGTGTGTGTGTGTGTGTGTGTACCTTTAAACCAGTCTACCAATTAAATGGACAAGTCCACACAGTTTTCTTAGCATCATTTTTTATAGTAGTTTACCACTGCCTCTCCTTAAGGCTAAGAGAGGGAGAGATGACTTACATTCACCTAACTAACTTCCATGCCTAAGAACCAGAATGTATACTATTCCAGTTTCTAAACCACTACACAAAACACCTTTACTCACTACACCAAGATGATTCTCTAGCAACAGAGCCAGCAATTATTCTGTAGTGTAAAGCTTATGTTAGCTTTTCTCAGCTTCGTGCTATGAATACAATACTAACAATTCTTAGCTAGAATGGAAACAAATGAGCAATGCAAACATATCTACCAACTTCATTGTGACTGACTCTCATACATGTAACTTATCCGAGCATCCTTAGTAACTTTAAACTTTGCTCTTCAACAATGAGTCTTGACCATGGATGTACAAAAGTCCACTAAAGACCTCCCTGGAACTATTTTTGGTTGTTTCACTATTCATTGATAATCATGAAATGACAACAGATGAATGACTAATTATTTCACTATGACGATGGGTACTGTGGTCTTTTTTCCCTGAAGAACATGATAAAATCTGATGTACCTATTTATTCAAAGTCATCCGTTTCCTTGATATTTTACCACAAAAATGTCTCTAACGGTAAATTGTATGAATCCGTGGCTAATGAGTTTGGAGGAATTAAGATCAATGTGGTCTAGGTGTGATGGTTTACAGTATTTTCCTGAAACACAATGAACCACTTCCTTTTCCCCCCACCCATAACCAAGTTAAATTTGATATTTGATGTTAGAGTGATGAGTGGTTGGAAGGGTTGGAAGGGTTGAAAGACCAGGTTAGGGACAGACTATTATCCATCTATATGGTTGATAATGACTTGATGGCACACAATCCATCTATCTATCAACTGATTGATTGTATTTAACAGTCTCCCCCATCTTCAGGTATTTTGCTGCTTTTATTTATTGCCTATGAATCCTGACTTTCCTTTGAACGAATGAGATAATGTACATGAGGGTCTCTCTGCATGTAAGTGCCACAACAAAAGACATAAAACCACAACTTTTTTGCAGAATGATGAGATAGTACTTGAAAGAAGAAGGGTTGCTCCACTAATTAATCTAATACCCGTGTGTCATGGCCCTGGTATAATCTGACTCGGAGGGAGAGGAAGAGCAGCCGGCAAGGAGTGGGAGTATAGCTCCAGAGGTTGTGGAGGAAACTGGGGAAGGGCATAGGCCGGCTGGACATTCAGAGGAAGACCCTCTTCATCCTAGGGCATGCAGGGAGCAGCGGATAAGGGAGAAACATGAATGGCATGGTCTACGGAGGGGGAAAGGACCCTGATCCCCTTCATGGACTGCAGCTGTGAGGACTGTTTAAAAGGGACAACCATTTTGGCTGCACTGATTTGAAAAGGAAACTTTTCCTAGTGAATGATATATTTGGAACTGTTTTTTGAACTGCGACAATCATAGAATACAGCAATGCCTGACTTTATCTCTAGCTGCTTCAGCTACTTTGTTTACCTGGACATGCATCTGGGGAAAAAAACATGTGAAAAAAATAAGCACTAGGTGAAAGAACAAATAGAGGATAAAATAACTGCGAATTATATGAAGTTTGGGCTCAGGCAAGTTTG